CCTCGTCTGCGTGCTATGTCTAGTCAGCGTCTTGTCCTAGGCCTCCCGCGTGTCTTGCCGTCGCTGCCGCCGTCCCTTGCGCCACCGTGCGGTCCTTGCGTCGAGGGTCGGCTGCGCGCCACCCCTCACTCCTCCTCCCTTCGTCCGGCCACCGAGCCTTTTGAGACACTCCACTTGGACGTCTGGGGCCCCGCCCCTCGCCCTGGCCCTGAGCGTGAGCGTTTCTTTCTGGTGGTCGTTGACGACTACTCCCGCTACACCACGGTGTTCCCCCTGGCGAAGAAGTCTGAGGTGACTTCTACGCTGATCAGGTGGTTGCTTACCACTGAGGACACTCGTGGTCGTCGTGTCAGCTGTCTTCACTCCGACCGTGGGGGTGAGTTTCGCTCCGGCATTCTCGCCAGATTCTGTCGCGAGCAGGGCATTCGTCAGTCCTGGACGCTTCCGGAGTCCCCACAACAGAATGGGGTTGCTGAGCGCTGCATAGGCTTGGTCATGGAGATCGCCCGCACCTCCTTGACTCACGCCCGTGCCCCCCATTTTCTGTGGCCCTACGCGGTTCGGTACGCCGCTCACCAGCTGAACCTCTGGCCACGTGTCTCTCGGCCAGAGGTTTCACCGACCAGTCTTTGGACCGGGTCCCCTGGTGTTGCGTCGCGGTTTCGTGTCTGGGGTTGCTTGGCTCTTGTTCGCGACACCTCCGCGGACAAGCTCTCGCCTCGCGCCGTTCCCTGTGTCTTCCTTGGTTTCCCTGAGGACTCCTCTGACTTCACCTTTTACCACCCTCCCTCTCACCGGTTCTTTGACTCCCGTGACGTCCGTTTTGAGGAGTCCACCCCCTACTACGTCAGGTACCCCTGTCGAGGTCTCCCGGTTCCTCCTCCCCCTCTCTTCCTCACTTCCGCTCCCCCTCCTGCTCCCCCGGTACAGCCTCCCCCCCCTGGTCCAGCCCCGTCCGGTGTGTCCCACGCTACCCCTCCCCCCTCGGTAGCCCCTCAGGTGCAGCCTCCTTCCCCGCAGTCCTCCTCGCAGCCTACTGCGCACCTTGCGGGAGCCGGTGTTCGTGGAGAGGACCCTGTAGGCACTAGCTCTAGAGGATTTGGAGTGGGAGCAGAGAGCGTACCTGTGCCGAGTCCTGGTTCTAGGGGTGCTGGAGTTGAGGTTCAGTCCGTGGCTGCGGACGACTCTACTCTTCCGGGAGCTGGTGCTACGTCCGGGGGTGCTGCGTCTGGGGGTGCGGGTGCGGGTTCTGGTGAGCCTGGTCGTGTCGCTGTTACTGGTGCTGACTCTGGGGGTGGTGCGCCTGGTGCTCTGGAGGGCGGTCCTGAGACTGTTGCGGCCCCGGACACTACTCCTCCCCCCACCCCCCCCTACCCGACCCGGCTCCAGGCTCGTGTTCGCCGTGCCCGTGAGGAGCAGCTGGAGTTGGAGCGAGAGGAGCGAGAGTTGCAGCGGCTGGAGGAGCAGCAGCAGCAGCAGCAGCAGCCACAGCAGCTGGAGGAGCAGCAGCAGCAGCCGCCACAGGAGCAGCAGCAGCCTCCTCCTCCCCTTGTCTCTGGTCTTTGGATCCTTGGTCTCCCCTCTCTCTCTCCTTCCTCCTCCCCCTCTCCTCCCGTCTACGGTCCCACGTTTCCTCCTCCTGACTCCTCCCCCGCTGTCCTCACTCGTTCTTCGCCTCCGTTGTCTCCTTCTCCTTCGCACGCTTGGCCCTCTCGTCGCTCTCCTCGTGCTCGTCCCTCGTCCCCTGTCCCTCTCACTGACCTTCGTACTGCCCTACTTTGTCCTAGTCCGCCTCGTTCGTCTCCGTCTGTGCTTCCTTCTCCTCCTGAGTCTGCCCTCACTGCTTCCCTCTCTACTCCTGTCACTGACTACTACCGCATGTACCGTCCTGTTCTCTCTTGTGTTCTCGCCTCTCTTGTTACTGACCCTCGTGCCTCTCTGTCCTCTGTGTCCGCTCTTACTGCCGCAGTTTCTCAGTTTGCCTCTACTCGCCGCCTTGACTACGCCACCAGTCTTGTGGCTGCTCCTCCTTCCAGTCCTCTGGCCGTCGGGGGTGAGTCTGCCCTTGGCTGTGACGCCCTAGAGGACAGGCAGTTTGAGCTAGAGTTCCTGGCAGCCGCTTCCCCTCATCTCTGTGCCATGCTCCTCGCCCCTGAGGGTGACCCAGACGCCCTTGACATACCGACTCCTCGCACTTACGCTGAGGCAGTGTTAGGGCCTTGGGCCTCTCAGTGGAGAGCTGCCATGGACGCAGAGATGGCCTCCTACAGATCCACAGGCACTTACGTCGACGAGGTTCCCCCTCCTGGGGCGAACGTAGTCGATGGCATGTGGATCTACAGGGTGAAGCGGCCACCGGGATCTCCTCCGGTCTTCAAGGCGCGTTACGTGGCTAGAGGTTTCAGTCAGCGTGAGGGAGTTGACTTCTTTCAGACCTTCACGCCTACCCCGAAGATGACCACTCTTCGGGTGTTACTGCACGTAGCAGCACAGAGAGACTACGAGTTACACTCTCTCAACTTCTCCACTGCTTTCCTTCAGGGTAGCCTACACGAGGAGGTCTGGCTGCGTCGTCCCTCTGCCTTCATCGGCACTTTCCCTTCTGGGACCCAGTGGAGACTGAGGCGACCAGTCTACGGTCTCCGTCAGGCTCCTCGTGAGTGGCACGACACCCTTCGTTCTACCCTGTCTGACCTTGGTTTCCAGCCGTCTTCTGCCGACCCGTCATTGTTTGTTCGTCGTGGTTCCACACCGTTCTTTGTTCTGGTCTACGTCGACGACCTGGTTTTCGCTACAGCTGACAGGGTTGCCTTGGCAGACGTGAAGTCCGAACTGCAGAAGAGACACACGTGCACTGACCTAGGTGAGCTGCGCCACTACCTTGGCCTGCAGATCACCAGGGACAGAGCTGCTCGCACCATTACACTCTCACAGTCACACATGGTGCAGCAGGTCCTTCAGCGGTTCGGGCTTCAGCACTCTACATTACAGCGCACACCCCTTGCTTCAGACTTACTGGACCCTTTCCTGACGAGCCGTTTGAGCCTAGTGGTCCCTACGCAGAGCTGGTGGGCTGCCTCATGTACCTGATGACCTGTACTCGCCCGGACCTCGCCTTCCCTCTCAGCATCCTTGCTCGCTTTGTTGCGCCAAAGAGACACCGTCCCATTCACTGGACGGCAGCTGTGAGGGTGGCGAAGTACCTAGCGACGACATCAGGCATGGGGCTGGTTCTTGGAGGGCAGCAGTCTGTCGTACTTACTGGTCACTGTGACTCTTCTTACGCTGACGACGCTGAGACTCTCAGGTCTACTCAGGGGTACTGCTTCAGTCTAGGTTGTGGAGCTGTTTCTTGGAGGTCCACGCGTTCCTCCTCGGTCTCGACCTCTACCGCTGAGGCTGAGATCTACGCTGGTGCCATGGCGGCACAGGAGCTGTGCTAGTTGACGTTCTTGCTCGCCGACCTTGGTGAGCGGCCGAGCTCTGCACCGACCTTGTTCACTGACAACAAGGCGTCGATTCTCCTCTGTCGAGAGCCGCGACTGGAGAGCAGAGTGAAGCACATTAACGTCAGGTACTTTCTTCTGCGAGAGTTGCAGAGACGTGGACAGGCTCGCTTCGAGTTTGTGGAGTCCGAGGCCAACACTGCAGACATCTTCACCAAGGCGCTTCCGCCTTGTGACCACCAGAGGTGCTGTGTGCAGTTAGGCCTTGTTGACACTGGTTCTCGTCTTGTGTAGACTTGAGTTTAATGTTTGCCTTGCTTGTACTCTTGCTATATACCTCTGTGAACTCTTGGACTGGCCTTGTGGCCTCTGTTGCTTGTGCTCAGAGTGTGTGGTGACGTTGTGATCCACCCTAAGCTTTGTTTCTTTGTGACTGGTCTTGTGACCGTACACTTTTGGTTTTGCTTGACACCCCTCACTTAGGCTATGGGGGTGTGTCAAATGTTGTAGCCAGTAGTGAGGTTTGTCCGGGGGGGGGGGGGGGGTACAAATGTTAGGGTTTGTTATATGTACCCCAACCTGCATCAATGAAACCAATACTTTCGATTTTGACAACACTACCCCTCCCCCCCCTCAAGAAGTCTCTCCGCTACGCGAGTGCATGTATATCGCAAAACCCTGGCTTTGCAGGTACACTTGCAGGGCAGGGGGGTTTTCGATGTTGGCCAGGGGCACCCAACTGTCTGTCAAACTATATGCTGTAGGCTATAGTGGGTTAGCCCAAAAGGGGTACAACCCAGTTCTAGGGTTAGTACTTGTACCCACCTTTCAATGCCATTCATTCCTGTCTGTTAGTTTCAACATGGTTTCAGAGCACTAGGTCCCTAGGACCGATTTTTTTTTTTACGGCCCACCATCTGCTACCCCACGCCCTAGCCACCCTCCCCGCGCGCAGCCCGCCTGCTGCCTCGTCAGCCCCGCGCGCCGCTCGCGCATCCCGCCCGCTGCCTCGTCAGTCCCGCGTGCCGCCCGCCCGCTGCCTCGTCAGCCCCGCGCGCCGCTCGCTTGCTGCCTCGTCAGCCCCGCGCGCCGCTCGCCCGCTGCCTCGTCAGCCCCACGCGCGCACCGCCCGCTGCCTCGTCAGCCCCGCACACTGCTCGCGCAGCCCGCCCGCTGCCTTGTCAGCCCTGCGCGCGCCCTACCCACTGCCTCGTCAGCCCCGCGAGCCGCCCGCGCACGGCCCTTACCACCCGCGCCCTGCCCCTGCCGCCCCGCGTACACCAGCTGCAGCCGTGCGCGCACCCTCTGCAGCCTCGCACGCCGCCTTTGCAGCCCGTGCCCTGCCCCTGCAGACCCGTGCGCACCCTCCGCAGCCCTGCACGCCGCCTTTACGGCCAGCGCCCTGCTCCTGCAGCTCCACGCGCACCCTCTGACTACTTGTGCGCTGTTTATCCTACTCAAATAGCCATGGCATCTATCAGCATTCTGTCGTTTGACCTTGAGGGCCGTCCGATAGAGTTCGATGCCTGGCTCGAAGATCTGCACCTGTAGCTTATGACTGATGCTAAAGACGGCGTATCCCTCTTTGACCTTGCGTCTGGCACCTCAGTCGCTCCATCAGACACACCTGACAGCCTCACTCGCTCACAGTGGCTTACCCGTGACGCTGCTGCTCGCCTAGCTATTTGCAACCACCTGCCGTTAGCCGAACGCACTCACTTTGGCCAGCACAAAACTGCTAAGGCACTGCACACTGCTGCCATCGCTCGCTACTCTTCCCCAGCCACTGCTGCTCTCAGCCGCCTTATCCTACCCTACCTGTTCCCTGAGCTATCCTCCTTCGCCACAGCTTAGGACCTCATCGCTCACCTTCGCGCTAGTGACCTACGCTACCGCGCCGCCCTCCCAGCCGAGTTCTTAGACAAGAACCCTCCCCCGATGTACATCACACTCTACTTCATAGTCACCCGACTCCCTGACTCTCTTTGCGTAGTCAGGGACCACTTTCTAGCCGTCCCCCCCACCAACCTCACAGTCGACGACCTTGAGAAGCACCTTCTTGCAGCTGAGTCCAACATGGTCGCTGTAGGTGCTGCTCGTGGCACTCCCCGCACTCCCCTCTTTGAAGGGTGTGCCCCCTCCCCCCTTGCCCCCTCCCACGCCTCTGCTGCTGCTGTTGACTTCCTTGGTGCTGAGGAGGTCGGTGCCGCTTCTGCCCCTAGTGGGAAGCGCCGCAGCGGCAAGGGCAAGGGAGGCAAGTGTGGCAGCGGTGGCAGCGGGGGGGGTGGTGGTGGAGGCGGAGGCGGTGGGGGTGGTGCCGGTGGGGGTGGTGGCGGGAGTGGAGGTGTCGGTGGCGGCGGTGGCGGCAGCGGTGGGCGTGGTGGTGGTGGAGGTGGCGGTGGTGGGAGCGGTGGCGGTGGTGGCAGCAGCGTAGGTGGTGGCGGCAGTGGGAGCGGTGGTACCGGCGGTGGTGGCGGCGGTGGTGGCGGACGTGGTGGAGTTGTTCAGCGGGGAGGTGCTGGTAGTGGCCAGCGCCAGCAGCAGCAGCGTCCGCACGAGCCCCTCACGCCCCAGCAGCTTCGTGAGTGGTACGCTCAGCGTGGGGCGTCTGGGGGTAGTGCTCGCTGCCCGTACGTCATTCGTTCTTGGGACCGCGCTGGTCAGACATGTGGGAAGTTTCACACTGAGTACCGCTGTTTCTCCCGCCTTGACGACGCCTGGCACGCCCAGTTTCCTGACGCAGTGGAGCTCCCCCGCTGGGCGGACCTGCTTAAGCGCGATATTAATATCTTTGCACTTGACTTTGATGCTATCCTTGCTGCCATGTATGCATTGACTGTTAGTGCTGATGGGGACTGTTACTTGTGTATGCCACCAGACCCAGGAATAGAGTTTGCTGCTAGTGAGTCTACTCTCTCTCGTACTGCGCCTGTTGAGGCCTTGCACACCTTCACTCTTGACTCAGGTGCTTCTCGCTGTTTCTTTCGTGACAGTACCGCACTCACACCGCTCCCTAGACCGGTTGCGGTCTCCCTGGCTGACCCCTCTGGGGGTCACGTGCTTGCACGCTCCTCCACTGTGCTCCCGTGTCCGGCGGTTCCGTCCGGCTCACTGTCAGGTCTCCACCTCCCCTCGTTCTCGACGAACTTGGTGAGCACCGCTGTCCTGCAGGATGCGGGGGTTGATACCTTCACCCCTGGACGACAGCGTGTGGCGATCTGTACGTGCTCCCGGACTGGCCGTCACCTGGCCACGTTCACTCGTCGGCCTGGGTCGAGTCTGTACACACTGACTACTGAGCCTCCTCAGGTTGCTGCGTCTGGTCAGGTGGCCGCGTCGGGTCAGGTAGCTTCCCCCTGCGAGTGTCGTCACCTGTCGCACCAGACCCTCCTTTGGCACCACCGCCTTGGTCACCCCTCCCTGCCACGCCTTCGTGGCATGCACTCCCGCCTCCTTGTCTCTGGTCTTCCCAGGTCTCTCCCTCCCTCCCTCGCCTGCCCCACCCTGCATTCCTTGCGTCGAGGGGCGGCAGCACGCCGCTCCTCACTCCTCCGAGTTTCCCCCGACGACTGCTCCCCTGCAGACCCTCCACATGGACGTGTGGGGCCCAGCCCACGTCCAGGGACAGGGCCGCGAGCGGTACTTTCTGCTGGTTGTTGACGACTACTCGCGTTACATCACGGTCTTCCCCTTGCGCAGCAAGGGTGAGGTCCCTGCTGTTTTGATCCCTTGGATCCGCGCTGTGCGTCTCCAGATCCGCAAGCGGTTCTAGACGGACCTTCCCGTCCTACGTCTGCACTCTGACAGAGGTGGTGAGTTCTCCTCCGACCTCTTGCGGGACTTTTTCTTCAGGAGGAGGGCATCCTCCAGTCGTTCACGCTTCCGGCCTCTCCGCAGCAGAATGGGGTTGCTGAGCGCCGCATTGGCCTTGTCATGGAGGTCGCTCGTACCTCCATGATCCATGCGGCTGCTCCCCATTTTCTGTGGCTGTTTGCGGTCCGGTACGCTGCGCATCAGCTCAACCTCTGGCCCCGTGTCTCCTTGCCGGAGACCTCGCCCACACTGCGTTGGACGGGGGAGGTTGGCGATGCGATGCGGTTCCGGGTCTGGGGCTCTCGTGCCTTAGTGTGCGATACCACCGCGGACAAGCTCTCCGTTCGCGCCATTCCCTGCGTTTTCCTTGGCTTTGTCTCTGACGCGCCTGGCTGGCAGTTTTACCACCCCACCTTGCGCCGTGTCTTCCCCTCTCAGCACATCACGTTTGACGAGTTGGTTGCCTTTTACCGACTCTTCCCCTACCGTGCTGCTCCTCCCCCGCCACCGCCACTCTTCCTCGCTCCAGGTCCCCCTCCGGTAGACCCCCTCCCCCCTTCTGGTCCTGCTCCTTCAGGTGTGTCTCAGGTAGACCCACTCCCCTTGGTCGAGGTCACTGGTGACTCGGGTGCTGCTGGGGGGTTTGCTGCTTGAGGTGCTGCGTCTTGGGGTGCTGAGCCTGAGTGTGAGGAGCCTGGGGGTGTTGAGCCTGCGCGTGCGGAGCCTGGGGGTGCTGAGCCTACGAGTGCGGAGCCTGAGGGTGCTGAGCCTGCCCGCGTGGAGCATGAGGGTGCTGAGACTGCGACTGCGGAGCTTGGGGGCGCTGAGCCTGCGAGTGCGGAGCCTGGGGGTGCTGAGTCTGGGGGTGCAGAGCCTGGGGGTGCTGAGCCTGGGAGTGCGGAGCCTGGTGGTGCTGAGTCTGGGGGCGCGGAGCCTGGTGGTGTTTAGTCTTGGGGTGCTGCTCCTAGAGGTACTGCGTCTCCACTCCAGGAGCCTCTCTTACCACAGCAGTTGCACGAGTGGTACGCTCGCCTCTGTCGCCTTCAGAGTGACACTGCTGGAGCTAGAGGCACTGGAGCTGGAGACGCTGGAGCTGGAGGTACCGGAGGAGCTGGATCTACTGGTCCTGGAGGCGTTGGTGCTGGAGGCACTAGAGCTGGAGGCGCTGGAGCTGGAGACACTGGAGCTGGAGGCACTGGAGCCGGTGGCGCTGGAGGCGCTGGAGCCAGAGACACTGGAGCTGGAGGCGTTGGAGCTGGCACCACTGGAGCTGGCGGTGCTGGCGCTGGAGGTCCTGGAGCTGGAGGCCCTGTGCAGCAGCGACCGTTTTTCGAGCCGCCGCCGCACCTGTCTGAGCTTCCGCCCGAGTTGGTGCTCCGCCAGGTTCTTAGTCTTCCTTCGTCCACTGCCCTTCCTCCTGGCTCGCCGCTGCCTGCCCCGTCTCGTTACACTGAGCAGCCGGTCTCCCTTACAGAGCGTCGTGAGCCTGCGTCTCGTCCTGCCTCCCTTGTTCGCGCTGTTCGCACTGCTCGCCGTGTCCCGCGTCCGCGTCCTCCTCCTGTGCCAGGCACTCACACTATGGCACTTCGTCCCTCCTCTGCTCCACAGCGCGTCCCGCTGCCGTCTCCTCCCTGGCCCTGAGTCTGACCGTGTTCGTGCTGCTAGCCCCACAGTCACGCGTCTTCTGGCTACAGTCGTCACTGACCCGTCGTTTGAGTCCGCTGCTGCGTCTGCCTTAGTTGCTGAGCTTGTCGACTTAACTACTGCGTGTCGTCTAGACTACGCTGCCAGTCTTGTTGCTGAGTCTGAGTCTTTCTGTCCTCCGTCCGTCGGGGGTGAGTGTGCTCTTGGCACGGACGTCCTTGAGGACAGGCAGGAGGACTTTGACTCTCTTGCGGCTGCTGTACCTCATCTCGTGGCCTGGCTGCTTGCACCTGAGGGAGACCCGGATGCACCAAACATCCCGACCCCGCGCTCTTACGCAGAGGCGATCTCGGGTCCCTACTCCTCTCAGTGGCAGACAGCCATGGACGCAGAGATGGCATCCTGGAAGTCCACAGGCACCTACGTCGACGACGTTCCCCCTCCTGGGGCAAACATAGTCGATGGCATGTGGATTTTCAAGGTGAAGCGGCCGCCGGGTTCTCCGCTTGTCTTCAAGGCTCGTTACGTTGCACGAGGCTTCAGTCAGCAACAGGGAGTTGACTTCTTTCAGACCTTCTCCCCTACCCCGAAGATGACCACTCTTCTGGTACAACTGCACGTTGCCGCACAGCGTGACTACGAGCTCCACTCTCTTGACTTCAGCACAGCTTTCTTGCAGGGTAGCCTGCACGAGGAGATCTGGCTGCGTCGCCCACCTGGCTTCACTGGGTCGTTCCCTCCTGGTACCCAGTGGAGCCTCCGGCGGCCAGTCTACGGTCTCCGCCAGGCGCCTCGTGAGTGGCACGACACACTGAGGACGACACTTGCGGCTCTTGGGTTTGCTCCCTCCACTGCAGACCCGTCGCTGTTTCTTCGCACCGACACTTCTCTGCCGCCGTTCTACATCCTCGTGTACGTCGACGACTTGGTCTTTGCCACTGCTGACACTGAGGCACTCGCCCTTGTGAAGTCGGAGCTGCAGAAGAGACACACGTGCACAGACCTGGGTGAGCTGCGCAGCTACCTTGGCTTGCAGATCACCCGGGACAGAGCACGCCGCACCATTACCCTGACTCAGTCACACATGGTGCAGCAGATCCTTCAGCGCTTCGACTTCCAGTACTCCTCACCACAGTCCACTCCTCTGTCTACACGTCACTCGCTCTCAGCTCCACCTTCGAATCAGTCCGTAGAGCCGAGTGGCCCGTGCCCAGAGCTTGTGGGCTGCCTCATGTACCTGATGACCTGTACTCGACCTGACCTTGCGTACCCTCTTAGCATCCTAGCTCGCTACGTTGCGCCTGGGAGACACCGGCGAGAGCACTGGGAGGCTGCTAAGAGGGTGCTGCACTACTTGTGCAGTACATCAGGCATGGGGCTGGTGCTTGGAGGACGGGGTGACGTTGTCCTCACTGGACACTCAGACGCCTCTTGGGTTGACGACCTGGCTACACAGCGGTCGTCACAGGGTTACACCTTCAGCCTTGGTTTCGGCTCTGTCTCTTGGCGGTCTACCCGCTCTTCTTCTGTTCTCAGCTCTAGTTGTGAGGCTGAGATCTACGCCACAGCCATGGCTGCACAGGAGTTACGCTGGCTCACCTACCTGCTGACTGACTTGGGAGAGCGGCCTCGTTCCCCTCCAGTTCTGTACGGCAACAACAAGGCAACCCTCGCCTTGTGTCAGGAGCACAGAGTGGAGCACAGAACGAAGCACATCGCTTTGCGTTACTTCCTGGCTCGAGAGCTGCAGCAGCGTGGCCAGCTTCGTCTTGCTTACGTGGACACGCGGGCCAACACTGCTGATATATTCACCAAGGCACTTCCGCCTAGTGATCATCAGCGGCACTGCACTGCTCAAGGCCTAGTGCCTACGTTCTCTCACTTGCTCACTGCTTGACCTTGCTTGTTTTGTGATCTATGTATCTATCCTTGCATGTTTACATTTGCTAGGTTGTGATCACTGTACTGCTTGCTTTGTTCTATTTAACTCTGCATGTGAACTAGCCTTGTGGCCATTTGCTTGTGCTCGGAATGTGTGGTGACTTCGTGATCCACCCTGAGCTTGCTTTGATTTCTTGTTTTGACTGGTCTTGTGACCACTTGTTCTCCCCCTTTCTGCCTATGGGGGTGTGTCAAACTTTATGCTGTAGGCTTTAGTGGGGTAGCCCATATGGGGTACAACCCAGTTTAGGGTTAGTACTTGTACCCAGATTCCTTTCAATGCCATTCATTCCTGTCTGTTAGTTTCAACACTGTCCTCTGTGGGGGTTTGGTCTCTCCATCGGACGAGGAACTCAATCCTCCGATGGGGTGGGGAATCTGGTGGCTCATAATTTTGTTCGGGTCGTCGATCGGCTTCGATGTAAGATGCGTCATTGATGGTGGGCGATGGCGTGGCAGTTGACTCGTGGTGGTGATGTAGGGTCGAAGAAAACTGACGTGCAACGACGCGCTGATGTACCACTCTGTCAGTAGCAGTAGGTGGGCGGTAACTGGGGTAATCATGTGGCTGATTTGGAAGGGTCCACAGTAGCTCGGTCGAAGTTTTAGTATGACGGGCAGACGTAAGTTCTGTGAGTCGAGCAGCACATAATCTCCTGACTGGTACGTCTCTGTCAACGAGAGTAGTTTGTTGGCCTCGTCCTCGCTTTGGCGGAAACGACTTCGTGGTCGGGTGTGCGGGAGGTGCAGCCGACTTGCACCAGTAGGCGACGCCAACTTGGGCGAGCTGGTCGACGAGTCTGGTCGACCTGCACGGGGCCACTGCGAAGCTGCCGACCATGGGACGCCGGCGACCTACTTCAACCCGGTGGGCGACGAGGGGAGACGTCGACCTGGGAAGGGCGCCGACTTGGGAAGGCGCCGACTTGGGAGGGCGCCGACTTTGGTGGGTGGTCGACTTGGTAAAGTCGACCAGAGGAGGGCGTCGACTTGGTGACGCCGATTTGGGTAGCCGACTTGGTGTGGTCGGGTGGCAGCTGGGCTGGTCGACCTGGAGCGGGTCGACCTGGGGTGTGGTCACCTTGGTGAGGTCGACCGGTAGTGGTCGTCGACCTGGGTGGTCGACAAGCACGAGGAGAAGCAGCTGGTCGACGTGGTTGTCCGGTCGACCAGGTTACCCAGGTGACGGGGTTTTGTGGAAGAGCACGACAGTCGCCTAGGTGGTTCTGGCGAGGCCGACCTCGGTGATGGTATCCCGAGGTCGACGTGGCTAATCAGGTGCAGTCAACAGCACGTGAATGACTTAGTATCTGGGCTGTGCAGGTGACAAGGAACAGCACGCCAATCAACTGCGAGCACCTGCGAAGCGGGTGCGCTGCTGTCCTGCGGGTGCAACGCTGTGCAGTCGCCTTGCTGCAACGTTGGCACGCCGTCGACTTGCAGCGTTGGCAGGCCGCGACTTTGCACTGCTGGAGCGCAGTCGGCCATGCAGTGCTGGAATGGGATCAACCGTGCTACGCTGGCAGTCGAGTTGCATGCTTGCTAGCATCTGATGTAGTCTTGCTTGCCAACTTTGTTGCTATCATTCTGAACCATTGTTGTCAATCTTTGCTAGTGAAACTCTTGCCAATTCTCCCTGTGAATGTATGCACAGAGAGAACACAAGCAAACGACTAAGGAACGCAGAGATCACCCTCACAACCACATGCCTTCCCCGTAGTCTAGCTCCCATTGTTTGAGTTAACTCCGCAGTCACTAGGCGGCGGTGGCGGTCGTCGTTCCTTTTTTTTTTTTGGTGCGCGCGTCTGGCAGCTTGCGTGTGGCGTTGGGTTGTCCGGGCTCAGCATCATGGGCACTGTAGGGTTTTGCCTGTAGTTCAGGTAAAACGGTGACTGCTGCGTCGTCGCTGACGTGACGTCGTTGTAGGCGAACTCGATCAGCGGCAACTGCTGCTTCCAAGTTGTCGGGTCGTCGCACGTGGCACGAATCAACTGCTCCATAGTCTCGTTCGTCCCATCCGGCTAAACGTCAGTCTCGGGGTGGTACGATAAACTGAATTGTAGCCGGGTCCTGAACTACTCCCAGAGGTTCTTTTTAGAAGTTGCTGGTAAACTTCATGTCACGGTCGCTGATTATCGCGGCTGGTATCCCGTGCAATCAAACCTCGGTCGAGATGAACAGGCGAGCATTTTCTTCGGCTAAGATCGATTTCCTGCACGCAGCAAAGTGGGCCATCTTTGTCAGTCGGTCAACAACAACCATAACTACGTCATTACCCCTAGGGTTCGAAGGTAACTCCGTGACGAAATCTATGATAACCTTCTGCCATGCGCTCTTAGGCGGTGAAATCGGCGGCAACTGACCCGCCTTTTTCTTGCGCGAGCTCTTCATCAGTTGACACGTGGGGCACGATCCCACGTTGCTTTACGTTGTTCAACAGCTTTGGCCAGTAATAATACCGTTGCAGTTGCTGTCGCGTTTTTTCTACCCCGAAGTGACCCAGGGTAAACTTGTCCAGTGCCTCCTCCAATAGTAAGTCCCGTAGCAGTGAGTACGCTGGTAGCCAGATGTGATTGGTACAGGTATTTACGTAATAAAATTCTGTTGCTTCTGTCAGCTGCTGCGAATTCCTAGAGGTGAAAAATGGGTCGGTGCGTCATCCGTGGGTGAATAGGCCTGTTAGCAGTGGCTTGGTTTGGGCGAGTAGTATGGTGTGAAGTTGGGCAGTGGGGCGGGTGAGAGAATCGGCGATGTTTGATGCTCCCTTTTTGTACGTGACTGTGTAATGGAATTTGGACTCTAGATAGTCCAACCACCATCTCGCGAAGTTTGAGATTCGGCTGGGCGTGAAGGTACTGTAATGAGCGATGATCTCTGTCCATACTGTCATGCCAGCTCCTGTGAGGTAGCATCGCCACACTTTGAACGCGTGCACGATCGCCAGCATCTCGCGGTCGTGTATCGGGTAGTTGCGTTCGGGCGGGTGAAGCTTGCAGGACACGTACGCGATTGGTTGAAGGTCGTTCCCGAATTCTTGCAACAACACTGCTCCCACAGCGATGTCGCTTGCGTCAGTGACTAGTTCGAACGGGCGGTGAGGGTCAACGATATGCAGTACGGGCGACGAGCACAAAATTTTCTCGAGAGCCGAGAAGGAAGCTTGCTCTTTCTCCCCCCCGCGTGTACTCAACCCCCTTCCTCTTAGGCCCGTTTGGGTGGTCAGCTTTGCCATGTCGGGGACGAACTGGCGCACGTAGTTGACGAACCCCAAAAAACTCTGCAGCTCAGTCAAGTTTGTCGGCGCGTACCATGCTTGAATCGTCACGATCTGCTTTGGGTCTATCTCCACTCTGTCAGCTGAAATAACATGCACTAAAAACTCCAGTCGGTCCTATAGAAACTTTCAATTAAAGGCTTTTGTCTGTATGCGATTCTCATTCAATATTTTTAAAATTGCTTCAATGTCCTGTAGGTGCTGTGCTCTGTCTGGGCGTAACTGTCTCTACAATTACAGACGGAAATAAGGTAACCGAAGAATCGCTAGCGCTGTGACGATGCATTACAGTTAATAATGGAATGTACCCCTCAAAGTAAATGGCTAGCTAGAATCTATATATTTTGTGTAATGTTTTTATTTTAATAAATCCTTGTCGTGTACATTCACTGTGCAACAAGGTTTCATCACTACTACTCAAAGAATTCCACTACCAAATCTCTAAGCATGCCTTCCCTATCCAGAAAGGTCCTTATTCTAACATGGCATGAGAGGAAGTTTGGATTGCGATCTTACATTTAGGATAACATCATGCCAGGAGCCGAGTGCGATGAAACTTGAAAAAATCCAGCCAATCCTTCCACCAATGTCACCTCTACAATGACATCTGTGGATCAAGCGCTCATTGAGCAGCTCATCACCCGCATCAACGCATTGGAGAGCCACGATCAAACTATGAGCGTTGACAGCTCCAGCTACGCAAGAAGACCTCCTGATCCTTAAGGACCCTACTTCGAGCGTTCATTCAGTTTTGACAATCGCCAAGCGCAAGCATCTGCTCAAGCACAGCACGCACATTACGAAGCAATGGCATCAATTTAAAGCAAGTTTCTCTCGACGTCGAAACTAAGAACAAATACGCTCTTCGACGTGAAGGACTTTTACACATGGAGCTTCGAGTTCCAGTTCTTGGCCCAAAGTTCACAGATCTGGATGTACTACGTCTGATCAATGCCATTCCCAAACGAAGGCTCACCTCAAGAGAAGACGCAATACTATAACGAGTCACTGCTCGCTTACACCGTCCTCATCCGAAACCTATCGCCCGCAGAACAGCTCAGCATCCGTTCTTTCAAGAACGAATGGGCGCCCGCACAACAATCTCGGGAGCACCCGCACACATGTTACATGGCAACTGACACAGTAATGCTCAGTCATTTATTGAACTAGCTGAACAACATCAGGATGTTCCCTGGAGAGAAAGCAAGGGCGTACATCAATCATTGCAGAAACTTGAGGGACCGATTCAAGAAAAGCGGCGAAAACTTCCATGACGATATGTTTGTCACTATCATTCCCACTCGACTAAGCCCGGAGTGGCGTCACTACAAGTCGCTCCTTCGCACCCAAGGCACGATCAGCGAAACTTCGCTCTGTGCTTCACTCCTTGCCGAACAACAGGAGGATCGACCTATATAACAAGAGAGGCAACAAGAAGGAGAAGATTGCCTTCTATACAGTGAGCACGGAGACACCCCTGGACAAAAGGAGATTGTTCTGGAAACACTGCAAGAAGATGGGACATACAATCAAGGAGTGCTGTAAACGCAGCAACAACAACACCAATGGCAACCACACGCAAAGGCAACAAGGAGGAGCACCTTACTAGCAAGTCGCCGGACCACAAGCGCGCAAACAGATCGTGTTACCACCCGCCGTCGCCAGCACTCCACAAGCTTCGGCACGCGTCTTTGCAGGCAACAAGGGGAAGAGCAAGATATTAACTTGCATGGTGCGATGCGGACATCTCCGACCCAATTGGCATTACTGTTTCTTCCACTGTTGGGAAGACATGTTCCTGGACACGCCGCCAGCAAGACCAGAAGGCTCGGTCGAAGACGAAGAAAAGAACGATCCGACCTTCGACGAGTTGACAGTTGGGCGCATCCCATACAATTGGAAAGCGCCACCGTGGATTGCAGAGTCACCACCTGCACGCATTGCACTGGACGACGAAGGGTGGAATTACAAACAAGATCACGACATGGAGCATCATCTCACCTCGCGAATCGCAAAGCAAAAAGAAGACGTGAACAAGTGGTACCTGGACAGCTGCTGCGGTCAACACATGGTCTCTTCCAACATGCTCATTCTCAACAGCGAGCCACTCTTCAACTGAGTCGAAATCACCGTCACCAATAACCAGTCGATTTAGGCGAAGAGTCGCGGAAAAAACCAGCTGGAATTACAAGACACGAACTTCTCCATCCACATCAGCGTTGTGCTTGTCGTGCCAGAACTCCGATTCAATCTTCTGTTTGCCGACCAACTGATGAAGTGCGTTGTCGAACTGCACACACGAGAAGGGGAGTTCCACTTGATCCACAACCATACACTCATCGGAAAGGCCGAAAGCGAGAATAGAGTATTCGTGCTCAACTTCGAGTAACTTGGAACTGTCGGCAACAAAGACCACATCATCGTCCTCAATCCGCCAGGCCATCCGTCACCACCCATCTGGACTCATCCAGAAGAAACAAACTTGGAACGCTCAGGACCACACGGACTGTGCCGCACTCTCGCCGTGCCCGTCGCCTCGACCACAAACCCTGCAAATACAGGACCATACGAGATTGAAGAAGAGGTCGGTCAACTCAGCAGAAGGACAAGAGCAGCTACCAACCTGGCCCAGAGTTGAAAACTCAACAGGTTGGAATGTGGGAGAAGGTTGGGACGCAGCCTGGCCAAGACATGGAACAGGATGGGGAGCCAGGCCCGGACAAGTCGCTGAAGTTGAAGAAGGATGGGCCAATGTCACCGGAGAACCTGCAAAGGAAGAAGGACCAGAAGTCACTGAAGTGGTGCGAAAATAAATTATTGTCAATGTATCGGAACACGTAGCAGAATTACCTGCTACGGAGGAAGAATCATTAACCGAATACGGACCTCAACTCATTCCAGTCATGACGGACAGAAAAAAACTACCTCCGTTTTGACACAAGGGGAGTAGCGATTGGCGACACCGATTTTGAAGAATGCAAAATCACGCAACCCGAAGATCGTTGTGGCAAGAGAACAACGCCTCCGACAGGACCATTGCAACTCCCCGTAACGATCGACACCAAGACCTTTGGCGACCCCAACAGATCACACCACGGGATGAGATTCGAAGTTCTTCACGCGGCAGCAGTTGAAGTCCTTGTACCAGACAAACCTGCGGACGAAACAAGAAAGGCAACAACAGAGGAGATAATAGCAAGGGAAAAGCAGTTGTACGCATGCACACGAGGATATCGCGCTGACGCTGACATTTGGCACAAACGACTCGGACACCCGTTGATGGATACGCTCAACAAGTGTATCAACGCAAAAGCATTCGCAGAAGATACACTATTGCTGCCCGACGAAAAGTTACTCAAACCTAGGGAGGACTTACCCAACTGTCCAGTCTGCCAGAAGCTGCACTAACACACACTCCCTTCGCCAAGAAAGTTTCTGGAGCCGAGCGGTACAAACCACTCGACAAAGTCTACAGCGACTTCCTGGTACTTACGACACAAGGATTGAAGGGAGAGAAGTATACAATCATCTTCATCGACGTTGGCACGCGCTTCGTCTGGGCCGCGAAGGTCACCAACCGCCATCTTGCAAACCACTGCTTCTATCTGTGGCTGAAAATGGTGGAAACGCAAAGTGAAGTCAAGTATCTGAAAGCCTTCCAGACAGACGGTGCACTGGAGTTCAAAACCCTCTGTGCTGAGGAGGGAATCCAGAGGATGGTCTTCCTCCCCTATGCTCACGAGCAGTAGGGTCTTGAGGAGAGAACCAACAGGAGCTTTGAGACAAAAATGCGAGCCCTCATGAAGCACTCGGTTGTGCCAACCATCTTTCGGCCCTACGCGATGGCGCATGCTGTGCGACTGCACAATATGCTTTCTTCGAAGGCCCTGCCCAACAACATCTCACCTTTCAAGGAGTGGACTGGCAAAAATCTAGACACACGCATGCTCCGGGTCTTCGGGTGCATGGTACAGTACCGCCCCCACACTGCTCGAACCAGAAAGTTTGAAGATCGCGCGCGTTGGGGCATCCACCTCGGCATCAAACCGGAGTACCACGCTTGGACAATTCTCGACTTTGCCACCCACCAAGTCACGCGTTCACGTGACTGCATCTTCTACGAAGAGCTGACGCTGCCATTGTACCGCCAATACCGCACTGCACAAGACGCAACATACAACATATTCCAAGGGGAGCACGTTTACACCAATAATCATGACAAGGTTGATGTGGCAGGGCAACAACTGGAGGATCAAATTGCGGAGGAGGCACCCTTTGTACCCGTTACGGAGGAATTCGGCACAACAACATTCTTCCCAACTGTTCCTGATCGGCACGAAGCAGTACAGACACAACGTAACTATGAAAGTGCAGAAATGCACTCACTCATGGAAGAAGACTCCAACCCCAGTTCTTCACGCGACACAGTTTGCGACATTCCTGGCGATGACGACAATGTGGTCGAAGTTACCAACACCGCTGAATCTAACCTCACCAGACTTCGCACCCTTGCCGTTGCCATCCGTGGTAACCAGCAACTCGTGGAGCCCACAACTGTTCGCCAAGCCCTTCTGGGACCCGATGCTGGGAAATGGAGAGGAGCCATGGTCACTGAAGTCACTGCACTCAAGAGGCGCGGAACGTGGAAGCTGGTACCACGCGGGTCTGCAAAGGGGAGGAAAATTCTCAGTGGGAAGTGGGTGCTCAGAATCAAAACCATCGCGGACGGCGCAATTGACAAATACAAGGCTCGATTGGTAGTTTACAAGTTCGACCAAACTCAATTCGTCAATTACGACAAAACCTTTGCACCTGTCGGACGCCACACCTTAGGACGCATCCTCATCGGCGTCGCAACCGTGAAGCAGCGACCACTCCGACAGATCGACGTGTCAAACGCATTTCTGTACGCGATCGTCGACGCCATAATCTTTGTCGAGCAGCCGCATGCGTTTGAGGAGGATAGCGACGCCGTTTGCCTCCTCCAGAAGTCCCTCTACGGGATCAAGTAGGCACCACGCTTGTAGCAGCAATACCTTCACCCCGTACTCATCGAGCTCGGATTCCAGCAGCTGCCCCACGATCAGGGCATGTACCGGCTTGAGTCCCGTGGGAGCTTCATTCTTCTCGTCGCCTACGAGGACGATTTGCTCTACACCAGTGACAAAGCGGGGCCATTCGACGGGTTCGAGGACGACAGCAAGCAGAAACTGGAAGTGGCTGTCAATCACAATGTCACCCAGTTTCTCGGCCTCAACGTTACAAATTCGGCCGACACAATCCACCTGTTCGCCGTAAAATACACCGAAAAGCTCGCCAAGAAGTTTGGCATCGCTCCTGTCAACGTCGCTACCCCGTTCCGATTCCCTCCACCTAATCACGAGCCCGACACAACCCCACTATCCGCCGCCGATCATCGACTCTACTAGCAGCAGCTTGGGTGCCTACTCTTCGCCGCCGTCACGTGCCGACCGGACCTGTCGTACGCCGCTAGCCAGCTCACCCAGTATCTACGTCGACCAGAAGGGGAGAACATGGCGGACCTACGACGCACCCTACAGTACTTCGTCTCTACTCTCGACGTTGGCCTTACCTACAAAGCGAAACTAGCGGCTAACTTATAGCTTTCCGGCTACGTGGATGTTGACCACGCAGGGGACGCAGATATTAGGAGGTCTCGCAGGGGATTCATTTTCAAACTTGAACCCGTAGGAACCATCTCCTGGAATCGTTTGAATTGTCAGCTAAATCTGACCACAATTCTTACATCAATCGGTGGCCTTGCGTCGCTTAAGAGCCTGAACATCAATTGGGGAGAATTGCTCTCCTCCCAGACGCGTTCAACTCGCTAAAGTCACTCGTGCATCTCGGGATTGAGATGTACGGCCTGGATCAACTGCCGCCTCAGAACTTCTGCAATTCAAGGCTGCTCAAGACGCTCCATCTCAAGGGTTGGTTTCATCTCACATCCTTTCCCGATTCTCTCGGCCAGCCTGCCAACTTGACGCGTCTTTCCATCATAGGTTGCAGGACAAGGTTTCAGCTGCCCGAATCCATCTCCAACCTCTTGGTCCTGCTCACCCTCGAATTTTCGCACTGCGAAGACCTGTCACAGCTGCCCGAGAGTCTCGTGAACCTGCCAGCACTTGAAACCGTAAAACAGGAGGAGGTGGGGGGATTACAAACCTGCCCGCGAGTCTCGGGCAGCTGCAGCGGCTGCAGCTCCTCTCCGTGATCAAGTGCCCCGACTTAATTTCGTTGTCCGACTCCCTCTCGCACCTGCCTTCCCTCACGGATCTCAGCCTGCTCCGCCTGACACTCCGCAGTCTGCCACACAGCGTGGGTCAACTGCCGCACCTACGGACGCTCAAGCGTTGGAGATTTCTTCCACTTGCTTCCCACCGCATACCTCGCCACTGCACTCAAAGAGCTAACGCTGGAACAATCCAGAGTTTCACTGCACTGAAAGAGCTAACGCTTAGCGACCTGACGAGCCTCAAGGTGCTGAAAATAGTAGACTGCAGCCTGCTGACGCAGCTTCCCGACTCCATCAGTCTCCTAACTTCCCTTGACCTGCTGGAAATCAATTACTATTGGAACCTGACGGCACTACCACAGGATATGGGAAAAGGCCTGCATAGCCTGTGCAAATTGATTCTGGTTCGATGCCTGGCTCTCACCCACCTCCCTCCATCCCTCTCCAGCGTATCCTCCCTTGAAACCCTGGATATTCACCGCGCAACCAGATTACGAGGCTCCCTACCTTGCGGCTTGACAAGCCTCAAGGACCTCTCGCTCTACTTCTTGCCGCACCTGCCCGCCTTGCCTGCCTCCTTACCTTCCATCGGCGGCAACCTCACCAGCCCCCTAGTGTCCAACTGCAATCGAATCAAGGCGCTGACAGAGCAAATTGGACGGCTGGGAGCACTTGAGAAGCTCGCACTCTAAGAACTACCCAAGCTTAAGTCGCTTCCTCGCTCGCTGCTTCAGCTGCAGCGGCTGGAGTATCTGCAAGTGAATTTCTGTGATGTGCCGGAGTCTGTGTTTGGGGATGAGCATTTGGGAGCCGCCGGGCATGACCTTGGGGAGAAAAGCGCTTGCGATAACTTGGCCACTTGCAGTAGTGGCAGTGGTGGCGGATCCGAGGCCTTGTTTCCTTAACTGAAGGGTCTTATATTTGAGGCCCTTCCACTTGAGTTGCTCAGTCCATCCTTGGGCTCCTTCTCGTTGCTTACCAGCCTGTAAATCTTGCAAATGCATCGGCTCTGCTCGCTCCCAGATTCTATCTCTAGCCTATCACGTCTGTAAACACTCTTAGTTGGCCATGCCAAAAGCCTGCTGGCTCTTCTAGAAACACTAGGGAGGCTTTTGACACTCACAACCCTCCATCGTGACGGTCTCCGGAGCTTGACTCAGCTTCTTGAGTCGTTCGGGCAACTGAAGATGCTTCAGTGCCTGGATTTATATGACCTTTCGGGCCTGACCAGGCTCTCCAAGTCCTTTCCCGAGCTCTGCAGACTGGAGCTGTGTTTTATGGTTAAAGTTGGATTCTCATTCTTCCCGGATGACTTATGGAAGCTCTCTTCTCTTGTGGTCCTCGGTCATGCAACACTGGCCAATCTTCACAACTTGCCAGACTATTTCTTACAGCTTCCCGCACTGGAGGACTTGAACTTGGAGAGGTGCAAGCGGCTGGCTCAGTTACCCACGGGCCTGCAGCAGATGGCGAAGCTGCAGGCATGCACTGTCGATGAGTGCCCTCTTCTTTCTGCACGGCAGAAGATGGTGATTTGTGGTACAGTGAACCTGGACGAGGGAGAGGGTGCAGTGGGTGGCTCAGAGGAGATTGGGGAGGAGAATGAGGGAGAGCGTGTGGTGGGTGGTTTAGAGCAAGAAGATGGGGGGGGGGGGGGACGGAAATGGAAGGGGGGGACGAGGAGAAGGAAGGGGGGGAAGGAGAGGTGAGCGAAGGGGAGGGGAGTGAAGGGTAGGAAGGAGAGGTGAGCGAAGGAGAGTGGAGTGAAGGGGAGGAAGGAGAGGTGAGCGAAGGAGAGGTGAGCGAAGGGGAGGGGATTGAAGCGGAGGAAGGAGAGGTGAGCGAAGGGGAGGGGAGTGAAGGGGAGGAAGGAGAGGTGAGCGGAAGGGAGGGGAGTGGAGGGGAGGAACGAGAGGTGAGCGAAGGGAAGGGGAGGGGAGTGAAGGGAAGGAAGGAGAGGTGAGCAAAGGGGAGGGGAGTGAAGTGGAGGAAAGAGAGGAGTGAAGGGGAGGGGAGTGAAAGGGAGGAAGGAGAGGGGAGCGAAGGGGAGGGGAGTGTAGGGGAGGAACGAGAAGTGAGCAAAGGGGAGGGGAGTGGAGGGGAGGAAGGAGGGGGGAACGAAGGGGAGGGGAGTGTGAAGGGGTGAAGGAGGTGGAGTAAGATCAAAGTGAGGAGGACGAGGGTGGCAAGGATGGGGAGGTGAAAGAGGAATGGCAGCACGCTCCCCGCCTCTATACCCCCCTCCCCTCCGATCTCCTCCTCCTCATTGTCTTTGACTCCGCCCTCTCCCGAGGAGACACATCAGCAGCCAACTCCACCGGCTTTGCTGCCGACGCCCCAGGCGGTGCTGAGCTGGCATCTCTCGATGACACGCTGTCTGTCAGGCGCCCTCACTGAGCTGGCATCCCTTGACGCCAGGCTGTCAGGCGCCCTCGCTGAGCTGGCATCTGACCCGGATTTCAGAGCGAAGCCCAGGCAGGTTTTGCAATTACTCTGCGTTCCTAGGCAGCCGTTCAAAAAAATCACGCAGCTTGGGCTGGGCAAGCCAGATGTGCTTTTAAAGGGGGAGGCCAGCTCGTGGCAGGGGGTCGGCGCCGCTAAAACGAACCAAGCCAGCAAGGAGTCCCTCGCGTTTCTGGGCAAGCCAGAGGCAGCAGAAGGGCATGAGATTATAGTGGGGAGCATTGTTCGGGGCATAGTAACGGGCGCCATAGTAGGCAGCTTCGAGGATGTGCGGTTCAAATCAGAAGAGAAGGAGAAGGCGAAGGCGGAGAAGGGTGTGAAGGAGTTGCAAGTGGTGGGGCTGGGTGATGTGGAGTCACTGTAGAGAGACGTGCTCGAGGCGGAGAGGCCGGCGGCGGGAATCATCCTCACAAAGCAGCTCGTCAACGCGCCGCCCAATGTGCTCAAGCCAGCTGTGCTTGTTGACGTGGTAGTGAACCTGACTGCTGCCCACGCAGATGTGCTAAGCGCGCGTATCTTAGAAAAGGACGAGTGTGCCGCTCTGGGCATGGGGTCGTACCTGGCAGCGGCGGAGGCATCAGCGGCAGACAACCCGCCCAAGTCCATCCACGTTACGTACACACCGCCTGTTGCTGGGGATGGTGGAGAGGGGGGCGAGGAGAAGCCGCTGAAGAAGCTGGCTCTGGTCGGCAAGGGGCTCACCTTTGACAGGTATGCATGGACCTTGTCATACCTGCTCGTGAGTGTGTCTGTCATCTCCAGTGCGCAGCTGTTTAGGAGGAGGTTTAACGATGATGACAGACAGTCTTTCCGCAAGTACTCATGGACCTTTTCACACCTGCTCATGGCCCCAACAGCATGCTTTCGACCATGTGCTTCCACCCATGGCGCGCTATATGCTTCGTGACGTCCACATGACGTCCTTTGTGTTGTCGCCCATGCCCCTTGTCTTTCGCACCACCACTTCCCACACCTGCCCCTTCCCTCGCACCTATCTACTCATACAGTGACCATGAGAAGCGCTATGCCCGGATGGGCTTGACAGTCCACCTTAACAAAATCGTTCAACCCATCCCCAACCATGCCCAACCCTCCCTGGAAGCAGCGGCGGGTACAATCTGAAGGCGGGCCCGTGCTCAATGGTTCATATGATGAAGTTCATTCTCTCATCCCTCCAATCATTTGTCTTCCATTACCCCCTCCGTTTTTTCGCTTTCACCAGTGGTGGATACAACCTGAAGGCGGGCCCAGGCTCAATGATTCTCCTGATGAAGTTTGACTTGGGCGGCGCTACTGCTGTGCTGGGCGCTGCCAAGGCCATCGCTGCCATCCAGCCGCCTGGGGTGGATGTGAGGCCACACCATGCAAGCACACAGGCACCGCCAGCATCGCTAAGGCCATCGCTGGCATGCAGGTGAGGGTTCTGCACCTATTGTCCGCCCACCTGCTCCCGCAGTACTCATAGAAAACTTGGTACTCCTTGGATCACTGTTGAGGGCAGCGTCGTGCACCCTACATCTGCTCTACATCCACCTTCTCTCGTGCACCTCTCGAAAAACGTAAATGGATGCACTGTTATAAATGAGCTCAGCTGTTGGCACAGGGATGCCACGGCCACAAGGTCTTGACCCAATCTGAAGAATTGTTCAAGCTGCCTCTCTGAGAAGCGTTAAAGCTCTGACCAAACCAGACCCCGTTCACTCACCTGAGCTATGGGGTTCGTCCTAGAACACACGTGCCTACTGAGTAAGTAAGGCCTCAACACATGGCCTGGCCAGGTGGGCTACCTCTGCAGCTCGCTTGTCCTCCAAAGACGGTTTATGGGTCATGGAGGGGGGGCATGCGTTCACCTCCCAGAGGTGTTGTGGGGGAAGAAGTTGGACAATGCATGCTGTTAGAGCATGAGGCGCAAGATGCAATGGGACGTGAAGAAAAGGGCGTGTTGGTGCACTTGTTACCCCTTTCCCGCATGCCTCTACCATTTGTATCCACATGTTATTCATGTGATATGTGCTGGTGTGTATGTGTCTGTTACCTTGCATGTGGATGTGAACATGATCACTACCCATAGGTGCAATTTATCATAGCAGCGTGTGAGAACATGGTCAGTGGAGGTGGCATGAAGCCGGACGACATTATCACTGCCTCCAACGGCAAGACCATTGAGGTGCGGTGCAGTGCAAATAGCGGGGTGAGGCGAGATTAGTGACGTGAGGCGAGAGCAGTGAGGCAAGAAATTTTCTCACTATATGCTTCGTTGGAGATGCTGCATGGGAAGTACAGTTGACTTCGGATTGAGGTAGCACAAACAGTTCTCTACCTGCGCTGTTCCCTCCCCACCCTGCGTTGTGATGAATGGTGGTTGGGTGTTTTTCAACAGCTTCTGGCACTACCCATAACACGGCCGCCCCGTCCCTTCCTCCTCTTTCCCGTCCCTTCCTCCCCTTCCCGTTCTACCGTTCCCTGCCTCTTCCTCGCCTTCCCTTGTGCCCATCCCCTGGCAGGTGAACAACACAGACGCGGAGGGGAGGCTGACACTAGCGGATGTGCTGCTGTACGCGCAGCAGTAGGGCGTTGAGAAAAATGTTGATGTCGCCACCCTCACTGGCACTTGCATCATTGCCCTGGGGAATGATATCGCTATTACGCGCTTGACACGCATGGCTGGTGTGTGCTGTTTGCATGGCTGGTACGCTGGGGACATTGCATGCACGATACCCAAGTAGACATCCCTCTCCCATACACCCTCCCACAACCAACCACCTCCACCATCTTTCTCCCACCCACCACCACTAGGTCGCTTTACCCATCTCCCTCACCACTTGGTCTCCACCGTCTTTCCCGCCATCTCCCTGTTCCTCCTCCCTGCCACCACTCCCAGGTCTGTTCCCCCGAGCGACGAGCTGCCAGCGGAGCTGGAGGCGTCCTCTCGGGCGTGTGGCGACAAGGTGTGGCGCATGCCCATGAAGGAGGCGTACTGGGAGGGCATGCGCAGCAAGCATGCCGACATGCTCAACAACGGCGGCCGTGAGGGCGGTTCCATCACTGCAGCGCTCTTCCTCAAGCAGGCGCATGGAGAATGGAGGAGGTTAAGAAAGCACAAGCCTTGTTATTCTCGCACTTGTTAAGTGGTAGCTTTCGAGGGGACGTGAGGGGGAGAGCGTGTTTGTTCTGTGCCACATCTTCTATGCCACTCCATGGCAGTCAGTGTTGCAGCAGCCCCTCTCTCCTCTTCCTGACTCTCTCCGGGCTAGTCTTTAAGCAGTAGGGTTTGTGTGGATTGTGATGTATGCTGTTTTGCCACCATTCCACCACGCCAGTTTGTAGCGGAGGGGGTGCCATGGGTGCATCTTTCTTTGTAGTCATTGTTCCATTAGCTTCCCTCCTATTCCTCTCCCTGTTTGGGAAGCCTAAAAACACCAGGATCTGTGTGAATTGTTACAAACGTCATATTTCCCTCTCCCTCCCCCCGACCTCTGGTCCCTCCCACCATTCTCTGCCACCATTCGCTGCACCCACTCCCTCCTATCGCTCCTCTCTGTTTGCTGTTGCTGCCCACCATTCCCTCCACCACTACCGGCCACCATCCCAGTTTGTGGCGGAGGGGCTGCCATGGACCCATCTGGACATTGCAAGGCCGGTGTGGAGTGAGAAGGGCGGAGGCACTGGCTTCGGTGCCAGCCTGCTCTACCACTGGGTTGCCTCCCACTCTGGCTCCCACTCCTAAGACTCACACTCCTAGGATTAACAATCGGTTGGATATTCGGTGGCAGTCAAAAAGCTGGGAAAATGAAGAAGCATTAGATGGACCCCGCTGCTTCGCCCCTCCCAATCAGTTTGGAAAATTGAAGTTGCTGATGGATTCAATCCCCTTCTACCCAGTGAATTGAAGAGTTTCCAGGAGTGAGTCTTTCTTTTTGGTAGTTTTTTTTTGTCATACCATCATCACCCGGATATACCCCCAGGTGGGGGTATAAAAAAACCTAGAAAAATGGTGGGTGGGCTTATAATGTGGTAAATTTTACAACCCCATGGGCTAAATAAATTACACTTATGCAATTATGAATTTTAAGCACTGGAATGTAGATTTCACCATTGCGGATTCAATCGATGCTAATACAAAGTGGGTCGCTGCTGAAACTTTCAGGGAGTGTGTCAAAGTGGCAATAATCCCTGTGAGCACATGCTGAACTGCCGATACTTTGGTCTTACGTGCGCTTGCGTGACAATTTCGCCAAGCGGGCCAGGGAGGATTTCGCCAGGCACATCGGTGGCGATTGCTTTAGGCGCGTTAGTGGCGATTTCACTATAAAAAACACTGGAATCAGAGCCTCATATTCGTTTTTTCCCTATGCTGATACGTCAGCCTTACCAGGCTACGCTAGGCTGACCAATCAGAGTTGTTTCCAATAAAAATGCTGAAATTTCAGACTAGTCCCCAAAAAAATCGCTGACTAATCAGCCTCAATAAAAAACAAGGGCTGATCTATGCTAAAGCACTATAAGTTCATTAAATTTAGCAGGCCTAACAAACAAGGAAACACTACATGATTTTAGCTGCACATCTCATCATCTTCATCACTAGAACTATCTACTGCATCTCCTACTGGCTCCTCCTCATCATCGTCGTCATGCTTGCCCTTCTTGTTGTTGTCGCCTGGGGTTGGGGTGCAGATGGGAGCATTGCTGAAAGGCTTCCGCTTCTTATAACTCCGCCAGATCTCAACTTCCTCATCATAGTTCGGCTCGTACTGCTTGAGGGACATACACATGAGGTCCCCCAGCCTCGCGTCCTTTATCCCACATCGCCGCCATGTCTTGATCACGTTTTGCCGGGTGAATCCCCTTTCACACTCCACTTTGCTGAGGGGAATCACAGCCTTCGCCACCCAGAGCTGCACCAGATTGGGGTAGCTCTCCCGCCAGTCAGGCGTCTTGAGCATCGCCGTTAGTCCGCTGTGGAAGCTCCTCTCTTCCTTAGGGGCACGTGCAAGGACTGAACAAAAGAGGCGAAGCTCCTTGCCTGCCAGCCTCTAATTGATGCCTGGAGGGAGGGAGGGAGGGAGGGAGGGAGGGAGGGAGAAGAATAAGCAAATGAGCAAACAGCACATAGGATTTTCAAGCATTGGGATGAAATCATGACATCACAAATGACACATAACAAACCTGGCAAGATCTCCTCACGGTCCTGAGCCTTGAACATCGTCACCAGCGAGTGAAGCCACTCCTGGCATCGAGCACTCCGCTCCGACTTGCTTTGTGGCCATGCATCAGGCGTGAACAGGCGGACTCCAGAGAGTGAGTCGAGGTCACCGAGCCTTCCCTCCAGGTTCGCCACGTTCTTCTCTGCGAAGTCGGTGCACATCTGGATGCAGCCGTCGTGGTCCTCCGGGCCGCTGTACGAGTCAACAGGCTCGTCGTGAAGGGTGAACGTGAAGGAAGATGGTCGGCCGTCGCTGTCGACACCTTCAACCTATCAGAATCACTAGGCAAGAATGAATGAACTAGCAGAAGTTTGGGTACAAATATGAAACCCTAGTTGGGGTTGTACCCCATATTGGCTACCCCACTACAGCCTACCAACATAGAACCCATTATAATTTAACACACCCCCATAGGCAAAGTGGGGGAGAACAAAGGGTCACAAGACCAGTCCAGCAAAGCAACACAAGCCCAGGGTGGATCACAACGTCACCACACTCCGAGCACAAGCAAAGGCCACAAGGCCAGTTCACATGCAGTGCTAGATATAGTACAAGACAAGCAACACAGTGATCAAAACCTAGCAAGCAAGCAACAAGATATATATAAAGTACAGTACAAAGAATGTCAAGCAGTGAGCAAGTGAGGAAACGTGGACACAAGGCCTAAAGAAGTACAGTGCCGCTGATGATCACTAGGCGGGAGCGCCTTGGTGAAGATATCAGCAGTGTTGGCCTTCGAGTCCACGTACACAAGCCGAAGCTGACCGCGCTGCTGAAGCTCTCGAGCAAGAAAGTAGCGAAGAGCAATGTGCTTCGTCCTGTGCTCCAGTCTGTGCTCCTGACACAAGGCAAGGGCTGCCTTGTTGTCGCCGTACAGAACTGGAGGAGAACTAGGCCGCTCTCCCAAGTCAGTCAGCAGGTAGGTGAGCCAGCGTAACTCCTGTGCAGCCATGGCCGTGGCGTAGATCTCAGCCTCACAACTAGAGCTGAGAACAGAAGAAGAACGGGTGGACCGCCACGAGACAGAACCAGAGCCAAGGCTGAAGGTGTAACCCTGTGACGACCGCTGCGTAGCCAGGTCGTCCACCCAAGAAGCGTCCGAGTGGCCAGTGAGGACAACTCTGTCGTGTCCTCCAAGCACCAGCCCCATGCCTGATGTACTGCACAAGTAGCGCAGCACCCTCTTAGCAGCCTCCCAGTGCTCTCGCCTGTGTCTCCCAGGTGCAACGTAACGAGCAAGGATGCTAAGAGGGTACGCGAGGTCAGGTCGCGTGCAAGTCATCAGGTACATGAGGCAGCCCACAAGCTCTGGGTACGGGCCACTCGGCTCTACGGACTCGTCCGGAGGTGGAGCTGAGAGCGAGTGACTGGTAGCCAGAGGTGTGGCCTGTGGTGAGGAGAACTGGAAGCCGAAGCGCTGAAGGACCTGCTGCACCATGTGTGACTGAGTCAGGGTGATGGTGCGGCAAGCTCTGTCCCGGGTGATCTGCAAGCCAAGGTAGCTACGCAGCTCACCCAGGTCAGTGCAGGTGTGTCTCTTCTGCAGCTCCGACTTCACACGAGCGAGTGCCTCAGTGTCAGCAGTAGCAAAAACCAAGTCGTCGACGTACACGAGAATGTAGAACGGCGGCAGCGACGTGTCTGTGCGCAGAAACAGCGACGGGTCAGCAGTAGACGGCGCGAACCCAAGAGCCGCAAGTGTAGTCCTCAGTGTGTCGTGCCACTCGCGTGGCGCCTGGCGGAGACCGTAGACTGGTCGGCGGAGGCTCCACTGGGTACCAGGAGGAAACGACCCAGTAAAGCCAGGTGGGCGGCGCAGCCAGATCTCCTCGTGCAGGCTGCCCTGCAGGAACGCTGTGCTGAAGTCAAGAGAGTGGTCACGCTGAGCAGCAACGTGCAGCAGAACCCGAAGAGTGGTCATCTTCGGGGTGGGGGAGAAGGTCTGGAAGAAGTCGACCCCCTGACGCTGACTAAAGCCTCGAGCAACGTAACGAGCCTTGAAGACAGGCGGAGAACCTGGCGGCCGCTTCACCCTGAAAATCCACATGCCATCGACGATGTTCGCCCCAGGAGGGGGAACCTCGTCGACGTAGGTGCCTGTGGACTTCCAGGATGCCATCTCTGCGTCCATGGCTGTCTGCCACTGAGAGGAGTAGGGACCCGAGATCGCCTCTGCGTAAGTGCGCGGAGTGGGGATGTCTAGTGCATCCGGGTCTCCCTCAGGGGCAAGTAACCAGGCCACGAGATGAGGTACAGCAGCCGCAAGAGAGTCAAAGTCCTCCTGCCTGTCCTCAAGGACGTCCGTGCCAAGAGCACACTCACCCCCGACGGACGGAGGACAGACAGACGCAGACTCAGACCCAGCAACAAGGCGAGCAGCGTAGTCTAGACGACAGGCAGCAGCAAAGTCGACCAACTCAGCGACCAGAGCAGACGCAGCCGAGGACTCAAAGGTAGGGTCAGTGACAACAGTAGCTAGGAGACGCGTGACAGTAGGGTGCTCAGCACGATACCGGTCAGACTCAGGGTCCGGAACAGCAGGCAAAGAGGACGCAGGAGGAGACGGCAGAGGGACACGCTGAGGAGCAGTAGAAGGACGCAGAGTCATGTAGTGAGTGCCTGGGACAGGAGGAGGACGCTCACGACGGACACGACGACCAGTGCGAGCAGTACGGACAGGCGACGCAGGACGAGACTCAGGCTCACGACGCTCTGTAAGACCTCCTGTGGGACCAGTGTAAGGAGAGGGAGCAGGGAGAGGCGAGGCAGGCGGTAACTGTGACTGCGGCTGGACAGTCGGAGGACACTCTACGGAGGGAGGAGGACAAGGAGGAGGAGCCTGCCCAAGAACCTGCTGAAGGAGCGGTACGAAGTACGGCCGCGGCCGCGCAGCGTCTCCAGAAGCAGAAGAGACTCCAGCGTCCGGGTCCCCAGCACCAGCAGCAGCGTCACCGCTCGGGTCCTCAGCTCCAGCAGCAGCTCCACCAGGTGGGTCCGCAGCACCAGCAGCAGCACCACCCCCAGGGTCCGCAGCTACAACTCCGCTAGCGCCGCCAGCTCCAGAGTCCCCAGCTCCAGCAGCTCCAGTCGTAGCGCTCCCAGAACAACCAGTCCCGGCAGCTCCAGTACCCCCAGCTCCAGCCGAGCCACTAGGACGGCGAAAGCGCCGGACGTACCAGTCACGAAGCTGCTGTGGTGTGAGAGACTGCTCAGCACCCCGAACCGGAGCACCCCCAGACGCAGCAACCCGAGGCTCCGTAGGCTCAGTAGCAGCACCCCCAGGCTCAGTACCCGCAGGCGCAGCACCCCCAGACTCAGCACCCCCAGACTCCGCACACGCCGGCTCAGCACCCCCAGTCGCAGCACCCCCAGGCTCAGCACCCCCAGGCTCAGCACCCCCAGGCTCCGAACTCTCAGGCACAGTACCCTCAGCTCCAGCACCCGTAGTCCCAGCACCCCCAGGCCCAGCACCCGCAGGCTCAGCACTCCCAGCAGCACCACCTGCAGCAGCACCTGAGTCACCTGTGACCTCGACAGGCTCAGCGACGGGAGGAGGGTCTACCTGAGAGACACCTGAAGGAGCAGGACCCTGAGGGGGAAGGGGGTCTACCGGAGGGGGACCAGGAGCAAGGAAAAGCGGCGGGGGAGGGAGGGGGGCAGTACGGTAGGGGAAGAGACGGTAAAAAGGGACCGACTCGTCAAAGGTGACGTCCTGAGAGGCGAAGACCCGGCGCGAGGTGGGGTGGTAAAACTGCCAGCCCGGCGCGTCAGGGACAAAGCCAAGGAAGACACAGGGAAGCGTGCGGGAGGAGAGCTTGTCCGCGGACGTATCGCGGACAAGGGCACGAGCACCCCACACCTGGAAGCGCGACGCATCGCCAACCTCCCCCGTCCAACGCAGTGTGGGCGAGGTCTCCGGCAAGGAGACACGGGGCCAGAGGTTGAGCTGATGCGCGGCGTACCGGACAGCAAACGGCCACAGAAAATGGGGAGCCGCCGCGTGGACCAAGGAGGTACGAGCGACCTCCATGACCAGGCCAATGCGGCGCTCAGCAACCCCATTCTGCTGTGGGGAGTCCGGAAGCGTGAAGGTCTGCTCGATGCCCTCCGCCTGACAGAAGGTCCTCAAGAGGTCGGAGGAAAACTCACCACCTCTGTCAGAGTGCAGACGCAGGACAGGAAGATCCGTCCGGAAACGGCGGCGGAGCTGGAGACGAACTGTGCGGATCCAAGGGATCAGAACAGCAGGGACCTCACCCTTGGTGCGCAAGGGGAAGACCGTGGTGTAACGCGAGTAGTCGTCGACAACCAGCAAAAAGTACCGCTCACCGCCCTGACCACGAACGCGGGCTGGGCCCCACACGTCCAGGTGGAGGGTCTGCAGAGGAGCCTCTGTCGGGGGGAACGAGGAGGAGTGAGGAGCGGCGCGCTGCCGCCCCTCGACGCAAGGAAGGCAAGGCGGCGCAGGCGAGGCAGGGAGGGGAGGGAGGGACCTGGGAAGACCAGACACAAGGTGGCGACGGTGCATGCCACGGAGGCGTGGCAAGGAGGGGTGACCCAGGCGGTGGTGCCAGAGAAGAGTCTGGTGCGACAGGGAACGACACTCACAGGCGTGGGCTACCAGACCTGACGCGGACACCTGACCGACAGCAGCGACCTGAGGAGACGCAGTGGTCAGTGTGTAGAGACTCGACCCCGGCCGACGAGTAAACGTAGCCAGGTGACGGCCGGTCCTGGAGCACGTGCAGATCGCCACACGCTGTCCTCCAGGGGTAAAGGTGTCAACCCACTGATCCTGGATGACAGCGTTGCTCACCAGGTTCGTCGAGAACGAGGGGAGGTGGAAACCCGTCAACGAGCCAGACGGAACCGCCGGACAAGGGAGCACAGTGGTGGACCGGGCAAGGACCGGGCCCCCAGAGGGGTCAGCCAAGGAGACTGGGACCGGTGCAGGAAGCGGTGTGAGCTCAGTACTGTCTCGAAAGAAGCAGCGGGAAGCACCTGAGTCAAGGGTGAAGGTGTGACAGGGCTCAGCCGGTGCAGTACCTGAGAGAGCAGTCTCTGTGGGTGCTGTACCTGAGAGAGCAGACTCGCAAGTAGCAGGGACAGTGCTGGAGGGAGCAGGTACAGGGGGCACCATACCAGAGAGAGCAGACTCACTAGTACCTAGGGCAGCGGGCCCTATACCTGGGTCAGGCGGCACACACAAGTAACAGTCTCCCTCGGCACTAACAGTCAATGCATACATGGCAGCAATAATAGCATCATAGTCAAGAGCAAAGATATCAACCCCAGCCCTCATCAGCTCAGCCCAGCGAGGGCGCTCAACATCCTCGCCCATCTCCTCACGCCAAGCGTCGTCAAGGCGGAAGAAGCAGCGGTACGGGGTGTGAAACCTCCCACACGTCTGTCCCTTGCGATCACCTGTGCGAATGACATAGGAACAGCGGCCACTGCCCCCCGACGTCCCACGCTGAGCAAGCCACTCACGAAGCTGCTGGGTCGACTGGGGACGCTGCTGCTGCTGGGAGCTCTGGCCCGAGCCGGTGCCTCCACTCCGACCTCCACCGCCGCCACTACCTCCGCTCCGACCGCCACCACCGCCACCGCCACCGCCACTACCGCCACCGCCGCCACTGCCGCCGCTGCCACCACCGCCACTGCTCCCGCCGCCGCCCCCGCCTCCGCCGCCGGCCCCACTCCCACCGGCACTCCCGCCACCGCTCCCTCCAGCACCGCCTCCCCCCCCACCTCCCCCACCCCCTCCCCCCCCAGCGCCACCCCCGCCACCCTTGCCCCCCTTGCCCTTGCCGGTGCGGCGCCTCCCACCAGGAGCAGAAGCAGCGCCAGCAGACTCAGCACCAAGGAAGTCAACAGCAGCAGCAGTAGCGTAGGAGGGAGCGAGGGGAGAGGGAGAACACCCCTCAAAGATGGGGGTGCGAGGAGCGCCGCGAGCAGCACCTACAGCTACAATGCTCTTCTCGGCTGCTAGCAGCTTCTCCTCTAGGAGGGCGACAGTGAGCTCAGTGGGACAGCGAGCAAGGAAATAGTCGCGCACTGAGCTGAGGGTGTCAGGGAGACGGGTGACTATGAAGTGGAGTGCCCAGTACAGGGGAGGGGGGTTCTTAGCGCAGAACTCGGTGGGAAGGGCAGCACGCAGGCGAGCATCACTAGTGCGAAGGTGGGTGATAAGATCGGCGACTGTAGCAAAGGCGGACAGCTCAGGGAACAGGTAAGGCAGCATGAGACGGCTAAGCTCGGCTGTGGCAGGTGAGGAGTAGCGAGCGACGACAGCGTCATATAGGGCTTTAGCGGTTTTGCAGTCGCCAAAGTGCTCTAGCTCAGGTAACGGCAGGTGCATGCGAATAGCCAGGCGAGCTGGAGCGTCACGAGTCTGCCACTGGGAACGTACACTAAGCTCGGCTGTGGCAGCAGGAGCAGCGGCAGCACCAGACGCGTAGTCATAGAGGGAGATGTGGTCCGTGCTATTGCTCATAAGATACAACTGCAGGTCGTCGAGCCAGGAAGTGAACTGCACGGGACGGCCCTCAGCATCGAAGGAAAGAACGCGAATAGAGGCCATAGCTCAGGCGTGAGGGCACAGCAGAGCAGCGGCAGTGCACAGGCAGGGAGCAGCAGGCGAGGCGGGCAGCGCTGCAGGCGGGAAGTGCGGCGGGCGGGCTGCGAAGCGGGCAGCGGGGCGGGCGGGCGACGCGGCGAGCGGGCAGCGCGGCGGGCGGCTGCGAAGCGGGCAGCGGGCGGGCGGGCGACGCTGCAAGCGGGCAGCGGGCGGGCGGGCGACGCTGCAAGCGGGCAGCGAGGCGGGAGGGCGACGCTGCGAGCGAGCAGCGGGCGACGCAGCGAAGCAGGTAGCGGGCGGGCGGGCGGCGCTGCGAGCGGGCAGCAAGCGGGCGGGCGACGCTGCGAAGCAGGTAGCGGGCGGGCGGGCGGCGCTGCGAGCGGGCAGCGAAGCGGGCGGGCCGCGAAGCGGGCAGCGAGCGGGCGGGCGGGCTGCGAAGCGGGCAGCGGGGCGAGCGGGCTGCGAAGCGGGCAGCGGGGCGAGCGGGCGACGCTGCGAGCAGGCAGCGCGGCGGGCGAGGGGCGAGCGGGCAGCGTGGCGGACGGGCGACGCTGCGAGCGGGCGGCTCGGCGGGCGGGCGACGCTGCGAGGGGCGCGCGAGGGCGCTAGCGAGGGGCGCGCGAGGGCGCTAGCAAGGGGCGCGCGAGGGCGCTAATGAGGGGCGCGCGAGGGCGCTAACGAGGGGCGCGCGAGGGCGCTAACGAGGGGCGCGCGAGGGCGCTAACGAGGGCGCACGAGGGCGCTACGAGGCTAGGGCACGGGGTAGCGTGGTAACCGCATGCGAGCGGTGGTGGGCCCTAAAAAAAAACGGTCGGTAGGTCCTAGGGACCTCCTGCTCTGATACCATATCAGAATCACTAGGAAGAATGAATGAACTAGCAGAAGTTTGGGTACAAATATGAAACCCTAGTTGGGGTTGTACCCCATATTGGCTACCCCACTACAGCCTACCAACATAGAACCCATTATAATTTAACACAACCTTCACTTCGCGGTTACACCCCGGGCCATGTCGCTCCAGGAAAAGTGACAGCCACTGGCTCATGCCACCGCCGAAGTCATCGCCGCAGTCCACGTATCGGCTCTCGATGTGGTTGGTGGTCCGCTTGATCTGCGCATGCAAAGACACCAGATCGAGCTGGACAGACAAAGGCACACAAAGACATAGTTAGAGTGGTTATTAGATCAACATGCGTAGATATAATCGTACCACCTCACCTGTCTCTGCTGGAAGGTATAGTTCAAGATGTTGAGCTGCTCAAGCACGTCAGCCAGGAAATAAAGGAAGAAGTGAAAACGGTAAGAGCTTGCCAGAGCATACATCTTGCTGTTAAGCTCCTTCAGCAGCACAATCACTGCCGGCAAAACAGCGACGAGGCGACGGATGGCATCCCCCCTTGAGAGCCACCGAACCGAGTGGATGCCTTGCACTTCAAGGCTCGTTTCGGTAAACAGCTCTTGCAGATTCATGAACCGTGCGTGGCGCGGACCCGACCGACCCAGCAAATCGGCCACAGCCCGGATGAGATCGTCGACCATGTCAAAGACGGGGAGCTCCTCTGCCGCATCCTTCGCTGCAAGGGCCTCCCTGCATGTGGAACACATCTAACTCGGAACATTAGCAACGAGTTAATACGATATAGCGTAACTGGCTATAAATGAAGCAGTCGTGCACACTAACCTGTGAGCGATGCAGTGAACGGAAACAAGGTGCGGAATTTTCTGACGCAGTCGGACAACCAGGCCGGCCTTCGACCCCATCATCACTCTTGCGCCGACTGTGCTAATGCCGAAAATCTGTTGCAGATCGACGTCAACTGCCTGCAAGTGGGAAAGGAGGATGCTGAGAAGTGAAGACGCGTCCGCCTTTTCCACCGTGATCAGCTGCATGAACTCGGTCACAACGACGTTGTCACGGACGAACGTGGCGTACAAGATCATGTGCTTCCCCTTGAGCCGATCCGTGCTTTCATCGAAGCTGATGCCGATGAAAGGGCTTGTCAGGATGTGCTCCAATTGAGTTGTCTGTAGCCAGGTAGCAAGGGCCTGCGTGAGCTCACCGAAGCCGTACCTGCCAGCAGGGAAAACAACAACCAGCTATTAAATGAAGGTAAAAAACCATCAAAACACCAACAAAATACAAGGCTGACTACTACTCACGTTGTGTAGTAGGTGCCATATCCCTTCTTAGGGAAGCCTTGAACACCCTTGCGTGCGAGGTACTGCACAAGCTTCACCCATGTTCCCATGGGCGCATCGCAGGAACTGACAAACAGCATGGAGTCGAACAACGCCATGACTCGGATCTTCTCAGCATTGACGGCGGCACGATGTTGGTCGATCCGTGGCTGCTTTGAAGCCGCGTTCAGCAAAGCCTCCTGATTCTCCATCGCCAGCTTGTGTTTCGTCGTACCGGCGTGCTTGCGAAACGCCTGCGTCTGCACGTCGGTCGCCTCTCACCCTGTCCGGCCACTTCGTCCCCTGACTCCGGCATGCTTGGTGCAGACACTGCACTTAAACGCGGGGAAACCGGTTTTAGATTTCGTTAGCACAAGCCACGAGAACCTCTCTGACCACTTCATTGTGTACTTCACAAGAGCATCTGCATAGACGGCATCAATGGCCTCGGAAATGTCTATGACCAATGATGGACGAGGGGATGTATTGTTCATGACAGGTTGCTCGACAGCGGCGCTGGAAGATGGCTTTGCCCAGCACAGCGTTGACTGCTTTAGCTTGAAGGTGCGCGGGGCAGAGGACTTCGTTGTTGACTGATCAACAACCACGGTTTCGGAGACGGCAGCCGGCGCAGGAGGCTCAATCCGGATGGAATCCGGCCTTGAACAAACCGGTGGGTGGTCGCGGTTCACCACCTCGACTAGAGCAGGCTTTGCAGTAGGAGGCCTGGGAGCGAGGACACCAGTGCCAAGCGAGCGCAGGAGCATGTCAAGCCCCGTCCTGGCTTCCTCTAAGCCGTCTATTTCATCACCACAACTATCCATGTTTGATCATCATCGCTAGCCAAACCTTCTACATGGCCGGCCATGGCTGAAATGGGAGAGCGTGCCGAGCTCTAACGTTGCTAGCTAGTGTTTGAGAAAACTTGCGCGAGAGGGGGGGATTGACAGTGCAGCTCTCCTGGTGGGTGGATACGGTGGGGTCATCAAGAGAGAGCCATAAAAGAAGGGCCTCTCGTTCTCACCACAAATCTGCAACGCGGCGCGACGTAGGAGCACCATGCACGCACTTGGATGCAGGTTCGGGGTAGGTGAGATGGGGTGAGGTGGTTGTTCTTGTCATGAGTGCGTGCGGTGCGTTGCTCTGCTGCACTGGTAGTGGGTGATTGGCCCATAAGGGATGTGATTGGTTAAACAACCAATTACATCACTTTATGCATTCTTTCGGTGACAACGAAGCAACAGTCGCATCCCGAATATTCGTTTTTCCCACGCGGCGGCGCAAAGACATGGCAACTTTTGCGTGATTGGCGGTTGATGTACCTGGACGGCCGAAACTCACGGCTCCTGCACGAATCTGTAATAGCCTGAATTCAGCCACTCTCGTTACAACTCTGATCAATCAGCGAACACTTGTAAAAAAAAGCTGAAAAATCTGTCAATACATTAACAAAAAAAAAAAAAAAAAACTTGAAAAATCAGCCAATACAAAAAACCTGAAAAAGCAGCCAACACATCAGCCACATGTCTGAAAAATCAGCCTCCAAAGCCTAAATCAGCCTTTTTCCTCTGAAATCTGAGGCCCTGACTGGAATTCAATGAGTGCGCTTATACGAAGATTGAGGGAATCTGGGGTGGGCTTATAATTGGCAATCGGCTATAAGCCCACTAGTCCGATTATAAGCCCATGGGTGTAACATAGGCCTGGGGGTATATCCGGGTGATGACGGTACCCTCCTAGAGGGGAAAACATGATAAGAATGCCCCATTTTTTTTAACTGTTTTACTTCTTAGCGCTTTGAAGCTACAACTAGAGGACTGCAACGAAATTCCTTTCTAAGGAATCGCGCAGGTCCTGCTGTTGATAGTGATGTGAGCTGGCAGTTTCTGTTTCTTGGTGTCCGAAATAGACAACGAACATTCCTCAACAGAACATCAAGAAACTTCGACGAATTTCTACCGTCGGATTTCTAGATCGAACAGCTGAAATGACTCGGCATCCCTCATTGTTTGTCGAGAGATATCAATCTCACCAGCCCAGGGTCCCTCTGCTTCGCGCCATTGGGGTCTGACTTGATGCCGGACAAGAGCTTGGCTCCCTCCCTGGCAAAACATATTTGACGACCGAGTTAGGATCCTGCGTTTAGGAAACATGTCGGCGCAGATGCGTGACGAACCGCACAAAAAGAAACCCTCCCGAAGAAATCGGGGCTCGCGCCCGCCTGATCGGTCCGTCATTTCTTCTTTAGTGGGACAATCAGATAGTGATTTTTCTGCTATTTGAATCCAGCCAGCCTCGCTGTTGTTGTGACCACTCTCATCTCTCAACACTTACGTAGTCGCGTTTCATAGAGTGCCTGGCATGTCAACCGAACAGCTGTCAGACGATCTACTTGTCACTGTCCTCGATCTCGTCGCACGATCCGACGGCCAGTTCCAGCACGCGCTTGTTTGCAAGAAATGGTTTCGCTTTGCCCGTCTCCTGCACGACCAAATCCAGATTCGCGAAAGGCGTCGCATGCGTCCTCACGAGCTCGCGCACCTCTCGTCATTCCCAAGGCTGCGAAAGCTCGTCCTCGCCGTCGGCAGCCTCACGTCCGTCCCTGACTCTCTTCTGTCGCGGATAGCCGACACGTGTCCAGATCTGACGGACCTCCACGTCGGTTCAATGGAGCGATGCTACAGGCGCGGGGGCTTCACTGAGAGCGGGCTTTCTTATCTTCTTGAGAGATGCACTCGGCTGGAGGGCCTTCGGCTTTATTGCCAGCAGTTAGTAACTGCCATTCCTCCGTCAATCGGCCGCCTTGTTTCACTCAAGAGCCTGCACATCAACGGCGGCTCTCGCCTCCCAGACGCGTTCACCTCGTTACAGTCACTCGAGCATCTCGTGCTTGAAATGTACGGCCTGGATGAGTTGCCTCAGCATTTCGGCAATCTGAGCCTGCTGAAATCGCTCCATCTGAACGGCTGTATGCGTCTCAGATTTATTCCCGATTCTTTCGGGCAGCTTACCAACTTGACGCATCTTTCTATTGGCGGCTCCGGAAGTCTTCAGCTTCCCGAATCCATCTCCGACCTTCCGTCGCTGCTGACCCTCGAAATTTTGTGCTGCGAATAACTTTCACCGCTGCCCGAGAGCATTGGAGACCTGCCGGTGCTTGAAACCCTACGACTGGAGGCGGTGGGGGGGATCACAAATCTGCCCTCGAGTCTCGGGCAGCTGCAGCGGTTGCGGCTCCTCTCCGTAATCGGCTGCAACGATATGATCGCCTTGCCTGACTCCCTCTCGCATCTGCCTTCCCTCACGGAGCTCATACTGCTCGACCTGACGCTCGACCGTCTACCTCACGGCGTTGGTCGATTGCCATGCCTACGCACACTCAACCTTGACGTTGGCGATCTCTTCCTCCTGCCGCCCTCTGTATACCTTGCCACAGCTCTCAAACACCTCTCGTTTGAGTACTCCTCCGCCCCACAATCTCTGCCCGAGGAGTTCGGGCAGCTAACTGCTTTAGAGACCCTGAGCCTGGTTAAGCTTTCGCAGCTCACCAGTCTGCCCGCATCCTTTGGCGACCTGACGAGCCTCAAGCAGCTGAAAATAGCCGAATGCGGCCAGCTGGCGCAGCTTCCAGATTCCATCAGCCGCCTGTCTTCCCTTGAACTGCTGGAAATCTTTTACTGCTGCTACCTGACAGAGCTACCGCAGGGCATGGGGGATGGACTGCGCAGCCTGCGCGGACTGAAACTGCTTGAATGCAAGGCTCTCATCTGCCTCCCTCCGTCCTTCTCCAGCCTCTCCTTAGAAACCCTAAAAATCCGTCGTGCGACCAGCTTACACGGCACCCTGCCAGGCGGTTTGGCTCGTTCCACAAGCCTCAAGAAGCTCTCTCTCTCCTCCCTGCCGCACCTGACCGCCCTGCCTGCCTCCCTCCCTGCCACCGCCCGCAACCTCACCAAACTCGTGCTGCTCAGCTGCAAGCAAATCAAGGCGCTGCCAGAGGAGATCGGACGGCTGGGAACGCTCGAGAAGCTGAGGCTCTCTGAACTTCCCGACCTGAAGTCGCTTCCTCGGTCGCTGTGTCAGCTGCAGCGGTTGAAATATCTGGAAGTGAGTTCCTGCAGCACGCTGGAGTCGCTGTTTGGGGATGAGAACCTGGGAGCGGCCGGGCATGACCTTGGGGGGAGTAGAGCCCTCCTCAGCTTGGGGGGAGAAGCGCTCAATAGTTTCAGCTGCGGGGGATCCAAGGAGAGTGGCGAATCTGTGTTCTTTCCATCCCTTGAGGTCTTCAAGCTTTCGGCACTTCCACTGCAGCGGCTCGGTCCATCGCTGGGCTCCTTCCCGTCGCTAACCAAGCTGGAAATCCTCGAAATGCATCGCCTCACCTCGCTCCCAGCCTCCATCTCTCACCTCTCTCGCTTGCAGTCTCTCACGGTCAGCCATGCCAAAGGGCTGCTATCTCTGCTGGAAACACTAGGGAGGCTGTCAGCGCTCACAACCCTACAACTCGACAAACCCCTGAGCTTGACTGAGCTGCCCGAGTCAGTCGGGCAGCTGAAGATGCTTCAGTATCTGAAAATACATGACAGCCCGGCCCTTACCAGGCTTCCCAAGTCCTTCCCTAATCTGCGCAGACTGAAGGTGTGCTGTTTCTCCAGAATCGGAATCTTGTGTCTTCCTAATGAATTCTGCAAGCTCTCTTCTCTGGAGGAGTTGAACCTGCCCAAGTGCGAGCAACTGGCCCTGCTACCCACGGGTCTGCAGCAGATGGCAAAGCTAGTGCGTTGTCACTCAGTGCCCACTCCTCTCGGCACGTCAGATGATAGTGATATACGGTTCAGCGAATCTGGACGAGGGAGAGCGTGTGGTGGGTGGCTCCGAGCAGGAAAATGAGGGGGTGGCGGAGATAGGGGAGGAAGACGGGGGGAGTGACGGGGAGGAGGGAGAGGGGAGCGAAGGGGAGGGGAGTGAAGGGGAGGGGGGAGTGGGAAGCGAAAGGGACGGGAGTGAAGGGCTGTGGAGTGGGGAAGAAGGGGAGGTGGTGGAGTGAAGTGGAGACGAGGAGCAGGAGGAAGGCAGGGATGGGAAGGTGAGAGGAGATGGCAAGGAGATGGAAGAGGAATGATGAAATGGGTGGTTTGGTTAGAAAGAGAGGAGTATGCTTGTATGGAGTCCTTGGTATTATAGTGCTTTTTATCAAGTTTAGTGGTACTTGAACTGTTGTTGGTTGAACGGCTTTTGAGCCACGTAAAAATAAATGTCATGTCAACCTGAGTGGCATTGCCAAAATGCGCGCTTCATTTCTGTTTCTGGTCTGGTCATGGTAAGGTAGCACCTACACGCCGCTTGCTGCTGCCAAGGATGGTGCAGACGGTGCTGCTGGTGAAGGGATGGAGGAGAAGCTGCTGAGGAAGCTGGCACTGATCGGCAAGGGGCTCAATTTTAACAGGTGTACATGGGGCTTCTCGTGGCTGCTCATGCCTGTTCATGCCTGTTCATGCCTGTTCGTGCCTGTTCATGCCTGTTCATGCCTGTTCATGCCTGTTCATGCCTGCTCATGCCTGCTCATGCCTGTTCATGCCTGTTCATGCCTGCTCATGCCTGTTCATGCCTGTTCATGCCTGCTCATGCCTGTTCATGCCTGCTCATGCCTGTTCATGCCTGCTCATGCCTGTTCATGCCTGTTCATGCCTGTTCATGCCTGTTCATGCCTGTTCATGCCTGTTCATGCCGGTTCATGCCTGTTCATGCCCGCTCATGCCTGCTCATGCCTGTTCATGCCTGCTCATGCCTGTTCATGCCTGTTCATGCCTGTTCATGCCTGTTCATGCCTCTTCATGCCTGTTCATGCCTCTTCATGCCTGTTCATGCCTGTTCATGCCTGTTCATGCCTGTTCATGCCTGTTCATGCCTGCTCATGCCTGTTCATGCCTGCTCATGCTTCTTCATGCCTCTTCATGCCTGCTCATGCTTCTTCATGCCTCTTCATGCCTGTTCATGCCTCTTCATGCCTGTTCATGCCTGTTCATGCCTGTTCATGCCTGTTCATGCCTGTTCATGCCTGCTCATGCCTGTTCATGCCTGCTCATGCTTCTTCATGCCTCTTCATGCCTGCTCATGCTTCTTCATGCCTCTTCATGCCTGTTCATGCCTCTTCATGCCTGTTCATGCCTGTTCATGCCTGTTCATGCCTGTTCATGCCTGTTCATGCCTGCTCATGCCTGCTCATGCCTTCTCATGCCTGTTCATGCCTGCTCATGCCTCTTCATGCCTGTTCATGCCTGTTCATGCCTGCTCATGCCTGTTCATGCCTGTTCATGCCTGTTCATGCCTGTTCATGCCTCTTCATGCCTGTTCATGCCTCTTCATGCCTGTTCATGCCTGTTCATGCCTGTTCATGCCTGTTCATGCCTGTTCATGCCTGCTCATGCCTGTTCATGCCTGCTCATGCTTCTTCATGCCTCTTCATGCCTGCTCATGCTTCTTCATGCCTCTTCATGCCTGTTCATGCCTCTTCATGCCTGTTCATGCCTGTTCATGCCTGTTCATGCCTGTTCATGCCTGCTCATGCCTGTTCATGCCTGCTCATGCTTCTTCATGCCTCTTCATGCCTGCTCATGCTTCTTCATGCCTCTTCATGCCTGTTCATGCCTCTTCATGCCTGTTCATGCCTGTTCATGCCTGTTCATGCCTGTTCATGCCTGTTCATGCCTGTTCATGCCTGCTCATGCCTGCTCATGCCTTCTCATGCCTGTTCATGCCTGCTCATGCCTCTTCATGCCTGTTCATGCCTGTTCATGCCTGCTCATGCCTGTTCATGCCTGTTCATGCCTGTTCATGCCTGTTCATGCCATGGCTGGGGAGGATTGGCAGCAAGAGGGGGGAAGGTTAGCAGAGAGGATGGGGGAAGGGAAGGTTGGGAAAGAGTCGGGGGAGGTTGGCCAAGCAGTGGGGGGGAGGGGGGGACCTTGGGAGAGATGTTGTGAGATGGTTGGCATAGAGGGGGTGCGAAGGTTGGCAGAGAGGAAGGGGGAGAAGGTTGGCAGATCGAAGGATGGTGTTTGGCAGAGAAAATGGGGTGAAAATGCTTGTCATGGCTGGGGGAAAAGTATGGCAGATGAGGAGGGGTGATGGAGGAGTTTGGCAGAAAATGGGTGAAGGGTAGAGAGAGGAGAGAGAGGGTTGGCAGAGAGGAGTGAGAGGGTTGGCAGAGAGGAGTGAGAGGGTTGGCAGAAAGGAGAGAGAGGGTTGGCAGAGAGGAGTGAGAGGGTTTGCAGAGAGGAGTGAGAGGGTTTGCAGAGAGGAGTGAGAGGGTTGGCAGAGAGGAGTGAGAGGGTTGGCAGAAAGGAGAGAGAGGGTTGGCAGAGAGCAGGGAAGGCAACGGAGATGACATGGGAAGGGCAGGGATAGGGAGTGGAGGTCGTCAGGAGAGGGGGGGGGGGGGGGGGGGGGAGATGGAGTGGGAATCCGGTAGAGATGCATCAGATTCGGAATCACTTTGCAGTTTTTTGCCATGGTACCTGAGAGGAGGGCTTTGCTGTTGCCACTTGTCATCCCACTTTTAGGTAGTGGGCTGAATCTGGTGCTTCCGTTTTCACCCTCTCGCTGACTTCTCTCCATCAATTTCAGGATTTGTTGTTTTCAACTATTATAATCTGGGGCTTTACACCCATGTCTTTCCACATGCCATGGCACATGCTTGTCCTCATGCCATAACACACGCTGATCCCTTGCCCCATGGTCATCCTGTGTTCTCCTATCCTCCATAGTTGTTCTCATGCTCGTTCTCATGCTCGTTCTCATGCTTGTACCCATTTTTGTTCCCATACTTCTTTTAATGCTTGCAATCATTCTGTTTTCATGTTCCAACCCTGTGCTACAGCCCAAACTCACACCACCGGCAGCACTGCTGCACGCTCCTCCCGAATCACTGCGACCCACACTACTGGCACCACTGCCACTCGCGCCACTAGAGGCACTGCTGTCCGTAATACCAGCACCATTGCTGCCAGTGCCACCGCCACTAACGCGCGCGCCACTGTACCCCACGCCACTGTACCCCACGCCACTGTACCCCACGCCACTGTACCCCACGCCACTGTACCCCACGCCACTGTACCCCACACCACTGTACCCCACGCCACTGTACCCCACGCCACTGTACCCCACACCACTGTACCCCACGCCACTGGCGCTTCTGCCGCCCGCACCAGCAGCAGCACTGCAGCCCGCAGTAATAGCATCCCTGCCGCCCGAAACACCTGCACCGCTTCTGCCCACACCACAGGCGCCACTGCCGGCCTCATCGATAACAGCACCAGTGCCCGCACCAACACTACCACTGCTGCCCGCACCAACACTACCACTGCTGCCCGCACCAACACTACCACTGCTGCCCTCACCAAACTACTGCTGCTGCCCGCACCAACACTACCGCTGCTGCCCGCATCAGCGTTACCGCTGCTGCCCGCATCAACATTACCGCTGCTGCCCTCACCAACACTACCACTGTTGCCCGCACCAACGCTACCCCTGCTGCCCTCACCAACACTACCACTGCTGCCTGCACCAACACTACCGCTGCTGCCCGCACCAACATTACCGCTGCTGCCCGCACCAACACTACCACTACTGCCCGCACCAACACTACCACTGCTGCCCGCCTACCCGTATCACCACCACTCGCAGCACGAACACGGTGGGTCATATCGGAACAGCAGCTGCCTCTGCTGCCACACGCCCGTTGGCAGCTGCTGAGTCGCGCGCCAATGCCCGACCCACTGGAGGTGAGCATTGATCATGTGTAGCTGGTCAGGACATGGGAGGGGCCTGGTCATGGTGGTGGTGAGTGTTGCTGTGGAGTTATTCTGTTTTCCTTGTGTGCCATGGAAGACACATGCATTGCATGACGATGCATGAAAGGTCTTCCTGTTTGGTCCCGAAACTACCGTATATGTATATTTAGCACTTGGTTGGTGCATTCAATTCTCCTCGGCTCTTTGCAAGAGTTCTCCTCGGCTCTATGCAAGAGTTCTCCTGGGCTCTCTGTGGGTGGGAGCCCAAGTTTCCTCCTCATTGTTGCGACCTCTTGCTGCTCCAGCGGCATCCTGTGCCACGCTTACCACTGAATCACTCTTCCCTCACAACCCATCTCTTCATCCCTCCCTACATTTCCCTCTTCCCAAACGAAAACAGGGATGTTGCATGGAGCTCGTCGCCACAAGACAAGACTGGCAGGCAGTGACCCACCCATCTACACCTGTTCTCATCCGATGGCATGGCTGTCAATCAAGCTGCCCAAGCCACCCTGGCGTCTGCACGATGCCTTCATCTGATGCTAGCTGCCATCATGTCTGCCGCTCACTTGAACAACTGTCACACCCGCTCGTACCGTATGGCCCCGGATATAGGCGCCGGCCTATTACAGGCGCCGGCGCTTCTATCTGGAGCATGGCGCTTATGGCCGTTCCTCGATTATAAGCGCCCCCCCTTTTGTACCCTTCCTTATTATAAGCGCCACCGTTAATTTTGTTAACTATTTTTTCTAACAGTACAAATTAAAACAGCATTTCAAACTACGAGGACTTCAAAAAACACTACACTATGCCATACAGCAGGCCCCTTGGGGCGCTTTTCTACCTAGGTGTTACACTACTCCTCGTCAGATTCGGGCTCCAGGCAGTTGTTGCCAAAGAAGCCGTCGGCGATGATGTCGTCGTCGACATCCACTTCCGCCGACAGCTGAGTCCGCCTGTGCGCCATGGCGAGGTGGTCCTCACTGCCGTCTAGTGCGTTGCTAATGCCGCAGGTGAGGAAGGCGCGCTTGACGAGGTCGGAGGGTACTGCTTTCCATGCTCGCGAGATCCAGCGAAGGACCACTGCTGGGGGGGGCTTCTTGAGATTCCCTGCACCACCGCATAGACACTAGGGAAAGGGTATTCAGCAGCCAAGGGTGAGAGGGAGGGATTAGGCATGCGAGAGGGAGGGAGGGAGGGAGGGTACAACGTACCTGCTGCTGTCAGCTGCTCTTGGCCCTCCTCCTCAAACCACTTCTGGTACTGCTGCCGCACAGATGCCTTGAAGCTCTTGTTGATGGAGACGGCGAGAGGCTGAACTTCAGCCGTACATCCCGACGGGATAACGGCAGGCACGCAGTTGAGCTCGCGGAACTTCTCCTTCACCCCCTCGGTAAGATGGCCGCGGTATTTCCAGCACGAGCATGGAGCTCTTTGCACTCCTCCCGAATCGGGGCTTCAAGAACGGCTTGACGCACTCCTCAAGCCACCGGATGATGCCTTCTGCGTCCATCCACCCCTTCTCGTGGCACGCGACGACCACATCTGCACATACAGGAGGAACATTAACTGTTAGCGCGGCATGAGAAACAACAGCATACGGTAAGTCAGCGGCAGTTGCTATATCTTAACAGCTACCTCAACAGGCTCAACCGGGTCTACCTGGGACACACCTGAGGGAGCGGCACCCTGAGGGGGGAGGGGGTCTACTACAGCAGCACCTGGCGCGAGGAAGAGAGGCGGGGGGGGAGCGGGGCAGTGCGGTAGGGGAAGAGGCGGTAGTAGGGGACGGACTCGTCAAAAGTGACGTCTTGAGAGGGCAGGAACCGGCGCGAGGTGGCGTGGTAAAACTGCCAACCAGGTGCGTCCGGGACAAAGCCAAGGAAGACACAAGGAACAGCGCGGGAGGAGAGCTTGTCCGTGGACGTATCGCGGACAAAAGCTCGAGATCCCCAGACCCGGAAACGCGACGCATCGCCAACCTCCCCCGTCCACAGCAGTGTGGGCGAGGTCTCCGGCAAGGAGACACGGGGCCAGAGGTTGAGCTGATGCGCAGCGTACCGGACCGCAAACGGCCACAGAAAGTGGGGGCCAGCCGCATGGATCAAGGAGGTACGGGCGACCTCCATGACCAGGCCAATGCGGCGCTCCGCAACCCCATTCTGCTGTGGAGAGGCAGGAAGCGTGAACGACTGCTCAATGCCGTGCTCAGCACAGTAGGCTGCCAAGAGGTCGGAGGAGAACTCACCACCTCTGTCAGAGTGCAAGCGCAGGACAAGAAAGTCCGAGTGGAAACGCTCGCTGAGCTGGAGACGGGCTCTGCGGATCCAAGGGATCAAGACATCAGGGACCTCACCCTTGGTGCGCAAGGGGAAGACCGTGGTGTAGCGCGAGTAGTCGTCAACAACTATCAGGAAGTACCTCTCCTGACCCTGACCACGGACGCGGGCTGGGCCCCACACGTCCATGTGGAGCGTCTGCAAGGGAGCAGTCATCGGGGGAAACGAGGAGGAGTGAGGAGCGGCGCGCTGCTGCCCCTCGACACAGGGAAGACAGGGAGGAGCAGGCGAGGGTGGGAGGGGAGGGAGGACCCTGGGAAGACCAGAGACAAGGTACCGGGAGTGCATGGCACGAAGGCGCTGCACAGACGGGTGGCCAAGTCGGTGGTGCCAGAGGACGGTCTCATGCGCCAGAGAGCGACACGAGCAGGGGGCCGACAGCTGACCTGACGCAGACGCAGACGCAGACGCAGCTACCTGAGGGGACTCAGTGGTCAGGGTGTACAGGTCCGACCCCGGCTGCCGAGTGAAGGTAGCCAGGTGACGGCCCGTCCGAGCACACGTGCAGTGTGTCACGCGCTCGTAGGCAGGGGTGAACTGGTGAACACCTCCGTCCTGGAGCGCACAACCCGCCACCAAGTTCGTAGAGAACGAGGGGAGGTGGAGACCTGACAGTGTGCCCGACGGGACCGCAGGACAAGGAAGGACAGTGGAGGAGGTCGCAATGACCGGACCCCCAGAGGGGTCAGCGAGGGAGACAGCAACTGGCCGAGCAAGCGGCTCAAGGGCAGTGCGGTCACGAAAGAAACAGCGAGAAGCACCTGAGTCCAGAGTGAAGGTGTGCAGTGCCTCAGTCGACTCAGTACCAGGGGGCGCAGACTCACTAGCACCTAGAGTAGCAGCCTCACCAGCACCTGGGGTAGCAGCCGCACTAGCACCTAGAGCGGCAGCCTCACTCACAGGACACGGCAGCTGCACCTGTCCATCACCAGAAGCTCCCGACCGACCCACTCCAGAGCGACTACCACTACGGCCACCCCGACAGCCCCAACTGGCGTACCACTCACGAAGCTGCTGGGGTGAAAGAGGACACGGCAGCTGCACCTGTCCACTACCAGAAGCTCCCGACCGACCCACTCCAGAGCGACTACCACTACGGCCACCCCGACAGCCCCAACTAGCGTACCACTCACGAAGCTGCTGGGGCGTGAGGGACTCACGCGCACGGCCCTGGAGCTGCATCTGGCCTCGCCAGGAGCAGCAGTAGCAGCAGTAGCGGCAGTAACAGCAGTAACAGCAGGAGCAGTAGCAGTGGGAGTAGAAAAGGCAGTAGCAGCAGTAGCAGTGCTGGCAGGGCAATGCTCACCAGTGGTTGGTGCGGCAGGCGCAAGACGGTGGCGACCGCGGGGCCGCTACAACTGCAGGGCGGGGCCGGGCCGCAGCAGGGAGCTCCGCGGCAGCTGCTGCAGGGCGAGGCCGGGCCGCGACGGCAGCTGCTCCAGGGGCGGCTGCTGCAGTGGCGGGCGGCTCCAGGGGCTGCTGCTGCAGTGGCGGGCGGCTCCAGGGGCTGCTGCTGCAGTGGCGGGCGGCTCCAGGGGCTGCTGCTGCAGTGGCGGGCGGCTCGAGGGGCGGCTGATGCAGTGGCGGGCGGCTCCAAGGGCTGCTACTGCAGTGGCGGGCGGCTCCAGGGGCGGCTCCACGGGCAGGTGGCGACGCCGCGGGCAGGGCGACGCGGCGGGCAGGTGGCGACGCCGCGGGCAGGCGACGACGCCGCGGGCAGGCGACGACGCCGCGGGCAGGCGACGACGCCGCGGGCAGGGGCTGCGTCGCGGGCAGGCGACGACTCCGTGGGCTGACGACGACGCCTGGGCAGGCGACGACGCCGTGGGCAGGCGACGACGCCGCGGGCAGGGGCTGCGTCGCGGGCAGGCGACGACGCCGCGGGCAGGGGCTGCGTCGCGGGCAGGCGACGACGCCGCGGGCAGGCGACGACGACGCCGCGGACAGGGCGACGCGGTGGGCGGCGAGAGCCTGCAGAGGCGGCGCGCGGTCGGGCAGAGGCTGCGCGCGGGCCTGACGGGTCTGCAGGGGCGGCTCTCGGGCGTGACGGGCCTGCAGAGGCGGCTCGGGGGGGGCCTGACGGGTCTGCAGAGGCGGCTCGGGGGCCTGACGGACCTGCAGGGGCGGCTCGAGGGCGCACGAGGGCGCACGAGGGCGTACGAGGGCGCACGAAGGCGCACGAGGACGTACGAGGGCGCACGAGGGCGCACGAGGGCGCACGAGGGCGCACGAAGGCGCACTAGCAGAGAAAGGCGCACGAGGGCGCACGTAGGGTAGGGCGCACGAGGGCGCTTCTAGCGGAATAGTGGGCCCATTGTAGAAAGCGGTCCTAGGTAGCAACCTAGGCTCTGATACCATGTTAGAATCTTAGAATAGAACGAGAATGAATGAACTAGCAGGAAGTTGGGTACAAGTAGGAAACCCTAAGTTTGTGTACCCTCTAAGGCTAAACCCACTATAGCCTACACAATATAAACATACAATGTTTGACATGAGGTGCTTGCCATTCACCCGGTCGGTGCTCTCGTCGAGACAGATCCCTATCCATGGGGATTCAAGCAGGTGGGCGCGTTGTGACTCTTGAAGGTACGTGGAGATGGCGCGAATCTTCTCTTTGAATCCGTATCTGCCACGGAGAAAACACACGGCACACGAGAACCCATTGCATTAGTATGGAGTGCAGTACTTAGTGCAGAAACACAA